TACAGGAAAAAGCCTGAAGTCCATCTAGTCTGATACCCTAGCCCTGAGAGCAGATGCTAGGGAAAGAGTGTAAAAAAAAATAAAGAGCAAATGGGGAGTGACAAATCCCTGCTATGTGCTTCCTCTGAGTCTCAAGCAGGAGGGTTAAATCTTTAGCTATTTCTTTTTTTTCCTAGTAGGAACAAATGCGCACAGAAGCTATATTTGGAGCTGATAATTCGTTTTGTGAATATGTTTATGACTAGCAAAATTATTCTTAGATCATTTTCTCCACAAAATTTTCAGCACGATAAATAGTTTTCCCTTATCTAGTTACTGATCAGAAAGGAGCCAGCAAGAATAATCCACTCTAAACCATTACGGCTGACATCTTGTGGTTGCTTTTTGTATGCCGCCTTCTGCTCGAGTTTCTGAGGAAAGACTGATTTTTCCCTTGTAAATAGCAATTGTACATCATCTCTATGTTACTGATAGTGAATTATCTACAAGATTCTAGAAATTATTCAGTAACCCCAACAGGGAGCTGAGAAAAGAAGTAACTTCCTTCTTTTTCCAGAGCTTTATGGTTTTGAATTGCTAATGTACAAAAGCATTCTTACTACTGCAATCACAGCCCTCTTTAACATGTCTCTATTTACATGCTGATATTTATCAGCTTAAGTATTTTTAAAACTCTTAGTAATCCTACCCTGGATCACTAAACAGACTTAAGGGCATTGGCTAGAGTAACAGGGGAGCATAGTTTGAAAACCTCTCTAATTATGTTCTGTTTTCTGTGAATTAATAGCCACCAGCGTCCAGCAGAACGGGTATAGCGAGGCCTGCCTCTTGCGTATATTTAGTCGAGACAGTTTCTGGGAGCACCACTGTGCTCTCCAAGGTTTCATCATGCGTTTTATTGTGGTGCAAGTGTAAAAGGCACACCTCCAGTGTCTGTGCAATAGGATCCATTTCAGAGCATGAAATATTGCCAGTACAAGGAGTATAGCAATTGCTACATTATTTTTTTAATCTCATGATGGTGTTATAATATGAGGCTACATCTTCATATTCTTCTGTATTTAAAGATAGAAGTTTCTTTCTTATGCAGCAATTTGGAACTTGCAATATATTGATACAAAGATGGAAAGTAATTTGGACATTTATCTGGAACTCTCTTCTATTGGTACTTTATTAGTTTGTCCACTGTTCACAGAAATCAACAACTTCTGTGGCAATACTTTGCAGGAGATTTGGGATACTGAGGGGAGTCCACCTGTATAACATCAGCAGCAAACATCAGAGAAACAACAGATCAATTATCTCCAGTTATTATTGTGTTAAGCTAGGTTAGTTCAACCCAGTATTTACTTATTTGTATATAAATAATTCATTTATTTAGAAAAGAAATGAGATTTCCTTCCTTTGAACCTGAGTGGCAGAATGCTCCCTTGTGTCCCAACAGCATACCCCAGTTTTAATACACTTCCAAGAAGGAAATTAGTTGATCAGGAACAAATGAATCAACTTTGCTTTGCTTGTCCTTCAAAACAGAATCAATTCTAGAACGACAGCTAATAGTGTAAGCCTGAATGACATATTTGCAGAGTTAATGAGGACCTGAAACAGGGATAGATAACAAAAATCTCAGTATATCATAAACTATACATTTGCAGCAAATACAACAAAATAATTAGTTCCATTGTTCCTGTGATACATTTAGGTTGTTTAGAATGTAATATAGTATTTCAGCATTGTTCACCTTTTAGGTTTCCTTATTGTGATGTCTAACTGAGTTCAGAGATAACGAATTACAGGACCTTAAGTCATGATTACTATTGCAGAACTATAAATATGCATGTTCTAGCAATATAAGAGAATGTAAAGAAATTGCTGTAGTTATCTGGAGGAAAAAAAACCCACATCTGTAGAGAGCTGCAGCTGCACAGAATAAAGTTGCAAACACAACTACCCAGAGAAAGGGGGCTGGGAAAACATGACAGCCAGCAAGAACATTACAAGAACAGCATCACCAAAGCTAGGCAGACAAGGACAGAATACTTATTAAGTCTTTACCGTCCAAGCAGATATTTAAATAGGTGGCTTTTTACTGATTCCACCACTGATTCCAACACCAAGTGGAGCATAATGATTAGCAGAACAAAGGCTTGTGTCTGTCTATGTCTCATTCATCTTCCGGTATTTTTTGCTCAAAAATGCTTTGTGCAGAAGGTGGGTTTTATTAAAAGAAGACTGATGCTGTTTTTTAAATATGAGACATAGATGAAAGCTTTTCAAGCTTCAGTAAAGACATTGCAAAGTTAAGGGCTATGACATTATGAAAATAGTTCAAAGTATCTTTAATCCTTGAGCACTGGATTTGTTTTGAGGCACAGTGAAACTTCTTTTTGAGAAATTAATACAACAGAAATGTAGCAGAAATAGAGCAGAAATGTAACAGAATTGAGTTCCTTCAGACAAGGGACATGGACATATTAGACAAAAGAGTTAAAAAATACATCTTTAAGTGTGGATGCTTTATTGCTGAGAAATTTCAGCAACTCAGCTTCAAGGAAATGCAGGTGGGCGTCAAGTAGCACTAACTGCTCCACAAAGAACAGAAATGGATGCTGCACATAAAAATAGACAATAACATTTTTAACCTTATGTTAGGTTCTAAGTAGAATTAAAACAAATTAAAACCTCTTTTGCAGGACTGTTACAAGTCTCGGAAAAAGAAACCAGAATTTATTATAGTTCATATAGCAAAGCAGGAAAGAAATGGAAGGTAAGAATTTAATAGCTGAACAATGCAGATAAAATAAACCCAATAAAATTAATGGGGAGTTTCTCTGATGTCCTGATCCACTGCTACTTACCTGTCAGTTGTCAGAATCAAACCAACTGCACTTTGCCCACAGAATATTCCGTTTCAGAGCATCCTCTGACTGAATTTCCCCCCTTGAGGAAATCTCTTAATAGAAAAATTAAAAGAAACCCTGGCAAAGTATACATAATTTTTACTTTTCTAGAACATGTTTTTCAGTATTATCTAGGGAACTAAGTTTGCCCATTAAAAGAAGATACTAAATGGTTTTAAGAAACACCATTAAGTGATTATAAAAGCATCATCTTTTTACATAGGAAAATATTCCTCAAAAATTAGACAAGACATAGAAATAACAGAACTTATTTTGTGCGAATAATAATAAAAATTATTATCATTACAGCATCTGTTAGTATAACTTTGCAGCTATAGAGCAAATAATGATGCTCAGAACTCAAATCTGAACACAGCCAATTTCACATTTCATTTGGCAGTAGAAATAAATGGGGACATAATCCTTATTATGCACTATTAAATGCTTGAAAATAGTGAAGTTGCACTGACTGTTTTTAACATGCATATGCAAAAGAAACAATTGAAAAAATCTCTGGTTTGGGTAACAGTTAACAGTGAAACAGCTTAATGCTACATTTTCTTGCCCTCAATACTATTGATACCAATGGTAAAGATAAATTTTGGAATCTGAAAAGCACTGGAATAACAAGGATTCATGTATATATGTATAAAGCCTATCTATCTAATGGTACACATCTAACACAGCCTGAAAAGGTTACCGTAAATCTCAGTGCAGTAACATTTTACATGGTTAGATGTACTAAAATACAGTCGTATGAATTACTGTATAGGACAGGCATGCAGCTGCATTAGGAGAGGGAATCATAGAGATACGTATAGATCCTTCAGCATTGTTTTCACTGGGATTATGCAGGGGTCTCTATCTGAATTCCCTCAGTCCCTAAGGGGATATACTCAGCAGTAAGAGCAGTCCTCTCAAGAGCAGAGGGAACATAGCATGGACTTGTTCTTATGTTCTTTGATAGCAACACAGGAAAGAGGAAGGTAGCTGAGTAGTTCTCTGTGAATTAAGTCAATCTTTACTATAATTCTGCAAAGGTCCTCTGTTACATAGTCTCGCTTTCAGCACAGACAATTTTCTGAACAGAAGATGCAGGTAGCTTCCAACCCCAGCCTACTGGCGTGTCCAGAAGCCAGCTCAGCCCACAGGGAGCACATGGCTGTTGGGAAAAATGGCTCCAAGCCACACTCTGAAGACATGCTGACTCCTGACACTGCAATGCAGTGGAGAAGAAAATCTATGCTGGCAGAGCAGCTTCCAGGAACTCAAATTGCAATTGGGAGTTCACTGCTAGGGAGGGGAATCAAGGCAAACGGAAACATGTCAGATTCCTGTCTATCTGCAGTACCCCACAAAAATATCATACAGATTTTTAGTTCATTCCTTGGTGCAACATGAACTATTGTGCTATCTTGGCTTGTAGCAGAAATAGTGTGGCCAGCAGGACTAGAAGAATAAGAAAACAATGTTTTGGACCTGTGGACTGTGACACAGGAGGGATTTCAAATCCATAACATGGTGATACGTCATTTATATACTATTGCTTTTTCCATTATCTGCTAGAAGAAACGTGATAAACTCAATCTGGGCTTTCTGGTTGAAAAAAAGAAAAGCCTTCTACTCCACTGAGTATTTGCAGCTGACTTGAGAGTACCTTAGTCTATTCTCAGTGTAAAAATTTATCCTTGTATTCAAGTACTTCATGTGCCTTCTTGCAGTTTGGAGTGTCGATTGAAACACAGACTTGACAAATAATTTATGAAGATTCGTTCTTTGCTTCTCATGTCTTACTCTATTTATGATTACTATTATTAAGTGCTGCTTTCATTTCTATGTTTTTGGTTACAATTCCTGTACCTTCCTTTTCCTGTGGTTACTTTGAAAGTGCTAGTAAAGTCATTCACATTTTTCGTCCTCGCTAAGAGCCTCCCCTTTATTACTTTGAGTAACCCCCCAGTTTAAGAGATGAAAAGCCTTTCCCTCCTGTAACAACCAAACGTTTAAGCTCCCATATTCCACAATTTTCTGGCTTTTCGTCCCGCAGGAAATAGATTTTCACGCTCCCGTATCCGCGCATGCGCGCAGCACCTGAGCATGCGCAGACGGTCAGGGGGCTGGCGGTGGCTTGGGCGGCCTCCGCGCTGCCTCCGCCACCAGTGCGATGGGCTGAGGGAGAGGCAGCGGCTCCGGGCTGGGCGCTCCGAGGATGGAGAGAGCCATGGAGCAGCTAAACCGGCTGACGAGGTCCCTGCGCCGCGCCCGCACCGTGGAGCTGCCGGATGGTAGGAGAGGGGCTGCGGGCTGTCTGCCCTCGCTGTCTGTCCCGGCACCGTTGCGGCCTCTGCTCCCCGGTCTGGCCCGGCTGCGTGTGGCGGGGCGGGGGTGAGCTGAGTCGGGGGCCGTTGCATGTCCTCGTCCGGCGAGGCGGCCTGGGACGATGGAAACCGGCTCCCTCCTCCCTCCCTCCCTCCCTCCCTCTGCCTCCGAGGGGCTTGCTTTAGTTTATAACGGTGATAACAACAACAGCAGCGGTTTCCACATCTTCTTTTTATCCCCCGGTGTCTCGCCGCCGAAGGACGGAGGTACCCGGCACACAGGGCGCTGCGTGCCCCTGCCCGCGGCTGCTGCCCCTGGGCCTGGGTGCGAGGGTGGTCCGGGGTGCTGGACCCTCTTTTTGTCCGGCTTTGAATTCTCCCTTAGGTGCTTCGTCTGTGTCATCCCTAGTGATGACAAATCCTTGGTTGTTAGTTTGTTTTTGCTAATAGCACTGAATTTTGTATGAAATAGTGTTGTAAGTCACTGGTCACAGGCTAATTTTTCTGCCTCTAAACTACTTCACATGGGTGCTAGCCATCCCGTACCCGGATAGATGTTAAAATATAGTTTCAGGCTTTTACAGCAAGTAGTTTAGTGTTCCAGCCAGATCCAGCTTTTGGGAGGACTACCTCTAAAAGCTTTTGGATATGCAAAAGTTTCTGTTCCTGTGAGTCATGTGCTGTCATTGTACTTTCTTCAGGGTTTATTTTTACAGACTGGTGTTTGGCTGTCTCTCTGCCAGGTTTCATCTCCGGTGGTGGAAGAAAGCAAGTAACATTCTGTTTTCTCTGTGTCTTCCCTGTTTAGACTTCCTGGTTGCTGCATATATTCTTCCCCCTGCGCTGAGCTGCTACACCTTTTCCTTATTGTCACCCACCAGCAGTTTCAGTATCTGCCAGTGCAGTTGCTTATAAATTTCACAAAATTGACAGACAAGTTTAAGTTGGATTTTGCTGCTGCTTGCAAGCAAGCCTTGGAATGACAACAGTGAAAACTGATGTAATACTGCCAGTGTGAGCTCAGGCTTAGAGAAATAATGTAGTAGCACCAGTTTAACTAAATAATGATGGTGGTATGAATAATGCGTAGCACAATTTATGCCAGTTGGAGCTGCTTTAAATTTATGCCAGTACTAGAATAGGCAAATTCATTCTGAAATTGAGTTCAGCTATTTTCTTCTTACCTTGGGCATCTTACATTTCAGAGGTAGTCATGTCAATGCTAGTGCAAGCCCCATGACTTTCAAACAAGTACCTCTCTTGCACTGTGGTGCAGAAGGCACGTCAATCCTATATATTCTCTAAGAATTACATGAAACAAGTCAGAGCTGTACTGAAATAAGGAGATAAATGGACTTTCAGGCAATGAAGTCTCAAATCACATTCCAAGAAAACCCATTCAATGGCCATCTAACTTTGGTTAGGTGTATAATGGTCCATCATAGCTCATTACATGTCTTCTTTCTTGACCTTGGTGTTCTCTAGGTTTATTCAGGCCTGCCTAGATTGTACTTGAGAAGCAGGTTTGGTTGTAGTGTTTTGCTCCAAACATGTACTGACAGGATCAGCTTAGAAAATACCACCACTAGTCTCATATGGCATGTGGTTTGGTGACTTCTTGTGTGCTGTGTCGGGCCTCTTGAAATATGATTTCTGCCCCCTCTCCCCTGGTACATAAACAGCTTTAATTTGAAAGATACATAGTTTACCTCTCTGTCCTTAAACTGAGAGTCATAGTACTCTCTTAGGAAATGGAGATGTATGTTTGAACTTCTTATGCTGAAGAAGGCACTAAATCCAGGTATTTAATTTCCTATGCATGTGCTGTAGCCATTAAGATACTATATGGATGGTGCTGACACTTCTCTAAGCTTGTAATCTCTGCCAAATTCAAACCAGAATCTCTTAGGAAATAAGTGTTTCTGGATTCTACTGTTAAGTGCCTGAAAAGCTAGGTCTTGCAGCCCAAAGCAGTAGGTTTTAGGCTGTTTGGTTCTGACTCTGCATTTTGCATGCTTTGTTTTTTTGTCTTTAGATATTCATAACTTGACATGCAAGCAAGTTAGATAATAAATATGTTCTATAAGTGCATGAGGCATATAATATCTTTGCTTTCACTGATGTCATGTACTTTAAGTTAATAGGTGTTTATTATGAATAGCGATAACAGTTACCAAAATAGGCACAAAAGCTCCTTAGTTCCACTTCCTTTTATTTCTGTACTGAAAAATTCTGGGAAAATCAGCACATGCTCCACAGTGTAGATTCTGTTAATAGAACAGCAGAAAGCTTAGTTTTGTAACTGTACCATAAACACCTTTAATGGCCCAGTTACAGTCGTATTTTACTATTGTCTTTTTCTAAATTGTTACACCTGCAATACAGTTAAATTTAATTGGGATTAGTATGAAGCCTTTCGGTTAAGTGTGCTGGTGTATTTAAAGCTTTTCTTTTTTTTTCTTTCTTTTTCTTCTGCCTCTTTAATAGGGCATGATTGTGGAAATTCAAAGGATGTCTAAGCTTTAGCTAGTATTCTCAAGTTCTGGTTTTTGTTTCAGTTGAGAGCTTTATCTTCCTGTCAAGAGATCTGTGGAACAGAGCCCAAACAAGACGTGTTGTTTTTTTTTTCGTTTAGATACACTGGGAGCTAATCATGAATACATTTTAAAAAGTGATCCAGTCATTTTCAGAGTAGATATCTTTATGTAGCATCTATTTAATTTTATTTCCAGGACTCTCCCTCTTTGTGTGTGTATTCTCTTCCACCCTGCCTCCCCCCTTCTCAGACCCCAGCAAAAATTCTAGTGGTACATGCTAGGGCTGGAGTTATCTAATGCTCACAGAGCTCTGCCATAAGGAACAATCTACAGACAGTTCAAACTCTTGAACTTGGGGGTGGTTAGAATGACTTTCTACAGCTTGGAAATGTGATTTGGTGTTTTGAGAGATTTGTGTCTCTTCCATCATGTGTTTACTGTAAGCAGTATTAAAGCTATTCAATTTTTTAATAAATAACATAATTATTATTTGATTTTGAATATGACATTTCTTTCCATTGTTCAAAGATAATAGCTTACAAAAGAAAGAATCAATTTTAATCTGTCTGTAGACTGCTTCACGTAGTGGGTAGCAGCACTAATCTTGGAATACTGTTGAAGTATAATAACAAATAGCATAACTGCAGCATGAGAAGCTTTTCTCTGACTCCAGTTGATAAGGCTGAAGAATTAATTTGGTAAATGTCAGTTTGCCTATCTAGTGGAAGTACTGAATGTGTAGAAGCATGTACATAAAATATATGAGAAGTTACACTTGTTTGGATCTGGTTTAATTCTTCCTGTTCTGATGGCTTTGTAACTTTTTGGATAATTTGGAACATTTTGATCAATTAAGATAATGAAAAAGAAGTTCAAAGTAAAAGTTTTATAAGAACAGTCCTATATTTCCATATCCTGGAGCTCTATACCTGGGTTCTCGGAAAGTATAGTCCCTCCTGTCATAAGCTGGCATCTACATGAAAAGTCTGTGGAGATTGTGCTCCCAACAATGGGTAGTTTGCTTCAAGCTGGAAATTATAATCATTACACATCAATAATAATTAATGTACCTCAGTATTATTAATGATTATTCTACATTAAAGACTTCAAAGTTTTGTTGAATTCATAGAATCCTAGAATGGTTTGCGTTGGAGGGGACCTTAAAGATCTAGTTCCAGCACCCTGCCACAGGCACAGACAACTTTTTACTAGACCAGGTTGCTCAAAGCCCTGTCCAGCCTGGCCTTGAACACTGCTGGGGATGGGGCAGCCACAGGTTCTCTGGACAACCTGTGCCAGTGCCTCACCACCCTCACAGGGAAGAATTTTTTCCTGATATATAATCTAAATCTCTGCTCTAAATTTGTCCTTTAAAAATAATGTTTTACTCCAGAAAGTCTGTAAGTGGCTAAACAGGCATGTCATACCCATACAGTGTGCTGGTGTGTGCAGCAGAAGTCCTGGCATGGACTGTATAGCTGAATGTCATTCTGTTCCCACCATTGACTTGCATCTTTGTGTTGTGGCCTTTTTTGTGTTGCCTTCAAATGTGGAAAATGAAACTGAGCAGAAATTAAATTGAAATTTATTGCATTCAGCTATTCCTGCTTAGAGACAAAACCAAATGGTTATGGAACAACTTAGTTTAAAGAAATAATTTTTACAGACTTGTCTGTATCCCGGACTATGGAAGTCACCTTGGAAGTTTCCTTCTTAAAATAAGCTATTTACTTTTTTTTTTTGTTAATGCACATTTCTTAAATGTGTTGACTTAACAGAACTGTCAGTTTAGAAAAATTGATGCTCCATTGCAAATTCTGTAATTACTACTTTGTAAAGGAAAAACCCACCGCATTGAAACTTCATGTATTAGTCCTATTAATTACGTCCTCTAAGTATGGTGGCTTTTTCTCTATAATGAAGCTTTAGTTATGTATAACCTGTGCAGAAATAATAATCTGTTGAACAATGGACACTTTAAAAGGTAACTAACTGTTGCTAGATTATTTCACACACATATATATATATATATATATAATGGAATAATTTAATTTCTTCACAGACAATGAAACTGCTGTCTATACACTAATGCCGATGGTTATGGCTGACCAGCACAGGTGAGAACTTCCTTATGTTTCTTTTTATCCTTTTTGTTTTTTTTTTCCCTTTTTAAGGTCTGAAAAACCAGCATGTTTGCAAGAGTTGTAGCTGCTGGAGCGCTCTCAGGAGTTCTGCTGAATAGTTCTGCTGAGATCTTCTGTAGCTGAAGTTAGACACTGACTGTATGCATTCCAGCATGTTCTTACTTGAAACCTGTTTAGTTTTATGCCATAGACTTGTTCTGTTGATGCACGTAGAGTAATTTGTCCTAGGATAAGAACAAATACTTGTTTTTTTTTTTTTTGTGGAACTGGGGTGTAGATCTGTGTGTGCATTTACTGATGACTTAGAAACTTTTAGTCTCATTAGGCATCTTGGAAAGACATGGAAAGAGTTGTACAGTGAGATTGGTTCTTCAGAAATTCCTCAGATGACCAGCTGTTTTCCTTTACCCAGTGATCCTTAGAGTGATTGGGAACTGGGGGTTGTACAGTGCCAGCTAAGCGGTGCTACCTTCTGATGGGTTTTGTAGGCAAGCAGATCATACTGAAACTGTAAAGTGTTTATCTGATCAGGATAAATGTTTGTTCTGCTAAATAATATTTTGTTGAGATTGTGTGCAAGGGTTTTAAGTTATGTGATCAGCTTGTTACTAGAGGTTGAAATCACCAGTTCACTTGCAGTTTTGCTTGTTTTGAAGTATTTTATCTTAGCTAATATTTTATCTTTATTAATTACTTAAGGCTTGAAGGGTCCTATTTAAATTTATTATCCTGTTGGCATATTATGTGTCCTTCTACTTTGTTATGATGATTTCATGTACCAGTCTTCCCTCTGAACTCTGCCTATGTTTGGGAAAGCTGCTGGGTATCTGGTTAGGGTATATGGGTAGAGATTAAGGAGGAAAATGGGAATTTATATTTTTTTTCAAACCAAAGCTATTGATATGCTTGTTCTCCGTGCTTGTAATGAAGTGATTTGGCCATCTGGTCTAATTCTAACTGGTTTACATTTGACAGTTGCCCAGTGTTACAGTTCATGTTTTATGTACAAGTAAGAAGTGAAAGAGTAAAAGTACTGTTAATATGTAAACACTTGCAAGCTGTTGGATGTTGTTAGTTGGATAGAAAAGAAATAGTGATCAAGAAAGAAATAGAGTACTTGTGTACAGTATATACTTTGCTTGTATAATGTGAGATACTTTATTTAAAATTATTTTTTTGTTTAAAGGTCTGTCTCAGAGCTACTGTCAAATTCAAAATTTGATGTGAATTACGCATTTGGACGTGTGAAGAGAAGTTTGCTTCATATTGCAGCAAAGTAAGACTTACTTGAGTCCAGTCCAGAAGTTAACAATGAAAGTAATACCACAAATCTAAGGCACCAATGTAAGCTGGGAAACTCTAGTATCAGTTGACACTTTGTTTTTACACTTTTTTTTATTTTGTTTGTTCTTTTAGCAATATGCCTGCCTCATTGAGGGGATAGTTTTTACGCATAATAGCAAATGGCTTTCTAAATTCTAGTGAAGGAAGTCTAGGTGGATACTTTTTTCCTTTCTGTGAAATTCTCAGTTTGTGAAAAAATGTAGCTGTTATGTATACCCTGTGTAGCTGGATTATTCTTGATTTTGTAGATTTAGAGAAATGTTGTCTGCAGGTGATGCTTGTTTTTGAAGTATTCTAAACCACTGAGAAGTACTTGGATGTTCGCTGGGAAGCATCTGTTACAAAGTACTTCATATGACCATACCTGAAGGGAATATAACTAATTTCTAATAATTTTTTATATCCTGGGTGAAAGGTTTAAGTGCTAATTTCAACTCCATGACCTAGATTATTCATTATTTATATATCTATTCAGTGAGGATAAATCTTTATTGCCAAGAAACAGCCAGATTAATATTACCTTAATAGAAATGAACCATATAGTTTTTGAAATAGCCTTTTAGGAAACTAAACTTTAAACTAATGAGTGAATGTTCTATATATATGTCCCCTTTTGAATATCTTGAAAAATAGTAAAAATAATAGTAGTGGCATTGCATATAAATAGCAGGTGCTTGGGCATAATGTAGGTAGGAGTTCCAGCTTTCTAAGCAGACTGTTCTAGAAATATATTTCCCAGGTATTCCATCACAGAATTACATGCTACTTATGTAAAATTTACTTGAGAAAGTACTCAACGAAAAAAAAAATGCAAGCAAATTTTTAGCATACATCTTAGAATTATCTTTGAAAAGCTGTTTTCATTGATCATAAACCGCAAGAAATTGTGTTACTAGTTTCTGGATTCTCTCTTATCTTGGCTAGTTGTTGGGTCACTAAGAGATCACAGAAATGCTGTTTTTGCAACTTACTGTACAGCCAGTCTTCGGTTTCTTTGGATGGTTGGTTAGCAGTTTCGTCATTGGGGAGATTAGTAACAATGGATAAGATGGTCATGATAGATATGAAAATAATGTATATTTATCCTCTGATTCTGCTCTTCCTCTTGAAAAATTCAGGAGCAAGATAAACATACAATGCAGTTTCGGTGTTCTTGGTGGTATTGATTATTCTATATTTTGAAAAGAAAAATGGAGTTACAGGTTCAAAACAAATAGCAAAGATATTTGTATGAGTTTGAGGATTTCTGATTCTTAAGGTTTAAATATAACTTCTGGACAGTCAAGTGTAACATAAAGAATTATGCTGGGATTGTTATTAAATGGAAAGTTCAGTCCTGTGAATAGATTAAAAATAGGGAGGTGAGAGGACATAGTAATCAAAACATTTTTAACAGCTTATATTTTAAACAACTGGCAGTCTTAAAGATTCGCTGTTGAGTTTTAAAGTCACCAAAATCACATAAAAGGCTAGTATCTGTTCAGTAGTGCATGTTATGACCACTCAGTTCTCACTGCATTTAAGTGTCTTTAGCTTTGTGTAACTTGAATGATGAGGGTGTAAAACCATTTTGTGTAAGATTTTTCTCTTGAATGTAATCTGTATGTAGTATTGGTGTTGTCTTCAATATAAATTTGGTTTGTAAATATCCTTGTTACAGTTTTTTTCCCTTCCTTATTTTGTTCTTAGCTGTGGATCAGTCGAGTGCCTTGTTCTATTATTAAAAAAAGGAGCAAATCCAAACTATCAAGACATTTCAGGATGCACACCTCTCCATTTAGCAGCAAGGAATGGGTAAGGAAGTTTTTAAAACTCTCAAAGGTTTTGTGCACAATGCACTTGAACTGACATGTTCTGTAAAATTTTTGCATAGTTGAAATAAAATACTTTGGTTTTCACCTTTGAAAATCATAGAATAGTTCGGGTTGGAAAGGACCTTAAGATCATCTAGATCCAACCCACCTGTCATGGGCAGGGACACCTCCCACTAAACCATGCCACCCAAGGCTCTGTCCAACCTGGCCTTGAATACTGCCAGGGATGGAGCAAATAAAAAAAATAAAAAAATTGGATGGTGCACTTACGGGGTACATGGAAGTTACCTTGCATATTCAGAAAATATTTTTATTCTGAATAGGAAGTTATATTTGAAATGCCAATTTTAGTGCCAGTCGTTTAGTGTTTTCTGTTAAGTAGGAGCTTAATGTTTATTACAACAGTGATTGAACAAGAGACGTATTCACCTTCCAGTTAGCTAAGTAAGAAAAGATTTCAAAGAGGATTTGGAGGATTTGGAAGATGCAGGGATTTCAGAGTTTTCTCAGGTAGTGTTTTCAAGGAAATTTTTACTACAAGCAAAAGAATACTAAGCTTGCATGCACAATATTAGGAGATAGGGGAAAAAAAACCTCACCCAAAAATGGTGAGCAAGCACCTTTTTGAGATCTCTTAAGGCCTTACTTCTTGAATTGCAGTATGTGTAAACACACACCTGATAATAGTAATTTTGTCTTTTTGTTTTTAGAGCAGGTATGTGTTACAGTAACTGAATTGTATCATGACTGGTACTTCAAATGAGGTGGTAGTGTTTAGTGGTTTTTAGGTATGTGGGAGACGGGAGAGAGAAGCAGCCAAGTGGTACACGATGAAATGCCGCAATACACACAGGAGACAGGTGGAAAGGAGGTATGAGAAAGTGTGAGAGGTACCAAATAAAAAGGAAAAGTAAGAATAAACTCTTAAGGGTAAAGGACTGGGAGCATTGGGGAGCACTAAAAGACCAAATTAAACATGAAGTAGGAAAAACACCTCTACTTTCACTAAGGCAGCTATCATTCTTGCCAAAGATTTATATAGATACAGTGAGCGTCTAATTATTTAATGATTTAGTGGTGTTCTGTAAGTGTATTCACTAAAGTGTACAGATGATGATGAACTTCATGTATTTCTATTAGCTGAGCTCCAGCTTCTTACCCTGAAAGTGTAGTTCATGCTGAGCTGAAGCTGTTAGAGTGGTGGTGAAGTGCTTCTATGCTTTCCACAAAAACATTCAGCTATGTTTTTAACCCTGTGCTGTCATATACTACACTTGTACTGCATGAGTCTGTGGTGCTACTCATGATCACTTTTTCACATGCTCAGTACCATACTTATAAAGTAGAACAACCTGCTATAGTTTGTACAATGATGAATTAGAGTGAGTGGAGCTCTGTGATACTTGGTCTTTGTAAATGATTTTTCCTGCATGTGTTTTAATGTATTCTTTTGCTTATAGCCAGAAGAAATGTATGAGCAAGCTGCTGGAATACAGTGCAGATGTCAACATTTGTAATAATGAAGGCTTGACTGCAGTAAGTGCTGCTCATTTTAATGGTGCTCTTAAAATGAATGAAGAATTTGAAGATTCTCATTTCTTAAGCTTCTGCCACCTTACATGTAAATATACAAAACTGCTGTGTGGCAAGTGCCCTTAAGCATCAAAAGCTGTGATCAGTGTACCTCAGCATATGATAGTGTTGTTCGAAGCTTCTCTTTTAAAACATCAACAGTAATAGTCAGGTTTAAAATAATATATATGAAATATTTCTATCATTGCTAAAGAAAGCATATGTATAATCATTTTGTACTTAGATTCATTGGTTGGCTGTCAATGGACGAACAGAACTGCTTCATGATCTTGTTCAGCATGTCAGTAATGTAGATGTTGAAGATGCAATGGGACAGACAGCCCTTCATGTAGCTTGTCAAAATGGACACAAGACAGTAAGTTTTTTAATTTTATTAACACAATGGCTTTGTGAAGAATTGGGTAATGCTTCGATGTTGCTGTGTGTATCTTCTTTATAAACTTCAGGCTAGTCATGCACATTATAATGGTTGGAAGTGTGAAAAACTCTATTGTTTGTCTTAGTATTGACTGCATACACTTGAATAGGAACAACTAATTTATTCTTGTGGAGATGATTGATCTCAGTGTTCATGAGAGCTTAAGTGACTATTCAGCCATTCTGTAGTACTGTTATTGCTTTGTTGATAGCAGGTTTTGATGTAGTGCTAAACATTTAAAAATGTTCTTCCTTACTTTTTAGAATGTATTTGATTTATAATTATACCAGCAATCATGTGCTTTTGAAATCTGAAGTGATCCTAATTTACTGTGAATAAAAACTGACTGCAGAGTTAGGTTAGTTAAATATCTAATATTTGAAGTAAACAAGTTCTCATGGACTCCTCTTTATTGATCTGTGTGAATAATTTTTAGGCCTGGCCTTGCATTGGAGCTGACTACTCTCAGAGTACAAGTCTGGATACTTTACTTGAACTGCATTACAGCATGTAGAGTTACACAGATTGTCTCCAGGACTATTTACAGTTCAAATAATAATTAAAAAAAAAAATAAATCTTTATACTCGGATCCTTTCTGTTGTCATTGTCAGAGCTCAACTTTGGAACACCAAATTCTGAGAAATTGCTAACTACAGACTTTTCTACTTTGTGTGACTGGAATACAGCAAAATTTGTTTGAGAGTCTGCTCGATATTTTGGAATTTGCTTACTTATTTCATCTGTTCTAATGTGTGTTTAAAACTTCATCTTGTGATAAGGCTATTTATAGCTGTCACTAATGTGAACTTCTCTAAAAAATGTCAGTTTTCTTTTTTAAATAGCATGTAGTTCCAGGGGTCTTTGGGATTAGTGAAAAATCAGTAAAAGGCATAGTTACAAAAAATGGGAAGCTCAAAAAAAGCTTTATGAGCTCTGACAGCCATGATTTTCAGTACAGTATTTAGGAATTTTGGTTTTGAGATTCATTATGGAAAATTAAATCCTTCAGTGTAATTAGACATACATGTCAAGAAACAGTTGCAAATCAATAGACTTTTCTGTTGCTTTTTTCTAATACTGATATTTTTTTCTGTTCTAGACGGTGCAGTGTTTGCTAGACAGTGGTGCAGATATAAACAGGCCGAATGTGTCGGGGGCAACTCCACTCTATTTTGCTTGCAGGTTATATATTCTTTACTTTTGAATATTGTGCTAAAAGTGAAATGGATCCCCTTTCTCCCCCTTCCTTTCTGCAATGAGAATGATTAGAAAGCATGACATTTAGGAGACATAAAAGCTGACTAGTACTTAATCTTGCCTCATGTTTGAATGTAGTTTGGTGTCTCATCTAAATACTTAGTACTGCAGGCTTATATACCTTTTCCTAACAGACATGTTAAACGCAGCTGTGTGTGTTCTTGCATGAGTCATAATTAATAACTGCTAAACTTATTTTGGGAAAAAGAGATACACTAACTTAGATTTTACTGGGTACACTGAAAATGCAGCCTTTTGTGGGGCAAGTTTCACTATTCTTTAATGTAGAGTATGGTATTACAGTGCACAGGAAATGTGCATATATGATTTAAAGTTACAGTATTGAATTCAAATTATATTGTTGTGTTTATCAGTTTTCTTCACAGTTTAATTTTATGTCAAAACTAATAACATATGATAAATTAACTTTTGTTTTAATTGGAGCATTTTTGCTATTTGGTAGAACATCTACAGTTTTGTAATCCCTGTGCTTTGGTTACAGTTTAAATAGTTCACCTATGATTAAATGTTACTATAAAGGAGAAATGGATTGACCTGGTGGCCTGCCAAGAGTTATATTGTGGGAGCCTTCGTATCTGGAGCTAGTGTATGCTGACTCTTGGCAGTTGAGAAGAAGGGAATTGGCAAATAAATAGCTGCTAGCTAATTGAATGCCTGGGTGCTTGCTTTAGGGACTGGCACTGGAATCTGTTTTAAAAGAATTAAGCAACTTGCCTTGTCTTGAAGGCTTTTCATTAGAAGAGTATGTGTTGCAAGTACAGCAGTGATGTTCTTTTACAAATCAACAGTTGGCAGTGTGGAATGAACAAAATGCGTAGCAGAGGTCAAGGTCTCCTTGTCAGAAGTGCCAGCTGGTGGTGCTGCCAGCTTGGAAGAAAGGTTATAGGTCCCTGATGACAGGGAGAGCAGGATGTGTTAGCAGTGGCTGATGTCTGGAGAAAGGGTATTGATGCTCAAAGTCTGATTGTAAAGCCCCTGATGTTGCACTGTTGCTTCTGCAGTGGCTTTGAAAGGTAGTAGAAAAATGTAAGTGGCATCCTATGTTTCTGTTTAGTTTCATACCATAAGTATGTTTTCTCCTGGCTTATATGGGTTTTGTTTTAGATGCAATACTCAGATTATCATGTATAGTAGAGCATAAGTGCTGTGTTAACTCTTCTCTTCTTTTGAACAGCCATGGTCAGAGAGACACTGCACAAATTCTTTTGATGAGAGGAGCCAAATATTTACCAGACAAAAATGGTGTTACTCCACTGGATCTCTGTGTACAGGTATTGAGTTAGCAGCACTCTTTCTGTGAACTTTTGTCACTTACTACAGTGTCACTCAATCAGTTACCTTTTTTATTTTTAAGGCCTATGAAAGATGGTTCTCCACTGGTGAAAGAGAAATGCAAAAATAACTTTTTGCAGTTAAAGTGATCCTACAGGCAGGTTCCCAATTTGCAGCCTTTGCAAAAGTTTTTAACATCTTTAAAGACTTTGCAAGATAGAAGTTTATGAGAAGTGAAGAGTTTGCAGAACTCCAGTTGACTAGAAAGTTTGGGAATCCTTGTTTTTTATTATTAATGCCTTGAATGTGTGCTTCAGTCTGCGGTTTTACAGTCCCTAGGACATGGCTTTATGCATAAAAATTCTGTTAACATTTCTAGGTGTAAGTAGTGACCCCTGCTGTTTGCTGTTTTGTAATGATGATCTTCCTGTGTGAGCAAGCAAAATATTTTCTTTCTTTTTACCTCTTTTTTATTTTTTTTCCCTCTCCTTTACTTACCAGTTTGCTTTTCAGTGTAGATACATCTTTCTAGATGAAAGACTGAAATTCTTGATAACTTTGGTGGTATTACTTTGGTATTACTTTGATTTTGAAAAACTGACTTTCATGAATTCTTGTGGATTCTGAGTGGTTTTAATTTTAATACCTGATTTCTTGGCACCATTAGCAATTAAATGAATCTTTTTAATGACTCTGTTATCACTGTAGTGAGATATAATCTGTCATGCAAAAAGAAGGAGCTTCTGTATTTGCAGCATTTAATCCACTACAAGATTGTCTTTTCAGTGTGGAATTTGTTGTGTATTCAGGTTGTAGGTGCCTGCCTAAAAATGCAGTTGTGCTAAATAAGAGTTGATACAAATAAAACACAAATTCAAGTCCTGTTATTTCTAAAAGACATTTTTCTCAAAAGCTTATGAAGTTAAGTCTGAGCTGTTGATCTGAGGCACAAGTGGAATCATACTTGTGTATTGATTTTAAAGTTAAATAATCCTTTCATGAGTTTATCCTATTTTTTCCTTTAACAAGTCAGATTTGTGCCTTATGGACCTTTAGGAAAGTATTTGTTTTGAAGGATTAGATTCTGGGTGTAATCAGGTAGATGTGTGTCGTCCATCAGCAGTGAGAAGAGAAGCTAAATATTGCACTGTTTTTAAGCGCTGGTAAATTGTTAGGTGAAGCATTGTTCAAGTGTAACTTTGGCTTTCTGTGTGGGAAAGCATTAAAAAAACAAACAAACCCCCAAAAGCAAACAGAAGGGGAGCAGATACATATGACCTGATATACTGAAAGAATTTGATTCTGCCATCTCTCAAAAGTTTTGTTGTATCTAATTTTGATACATTATTAGATTTCACTTTATTTATGTTAGGATTGGATTACTCAATTCAGTATTAAAAAAAAAAGGTAATTCTTAGTAAGTGTTAATGCCTATAATAGTATAAGCCCCAATTCTGATGTTTCTTTTAATTAAAATGGTTTTTGTTGCTTTTTTAGGGTGGTTATGGAGAGACTTGTGAAGTCTTAATACAATACCATCCTCGACTTTTCCAGACAATAATTCAAATGACGCAGAATGAAGATCTACGGGAAAACATGGTAACACAGGATTATGTGTATATAGTTTTGTATATCTGTGTGGTGGAGATCTGATGGCTTAATATTAGTGTCCTGGTTAGAATACACTACCAGAAGTTCAACATCTCCGTCGCTGACATGGACAGTGGGATTGAGTGTGCCCTCAGCAAATTTGCTGATGACACCAAGCTGTGTGGTTTGGTTGTTACGCTGGAGGGAAGGAATGCCATCCAGAGGGACCTTGACACGCTTGTGAGGTGGGCTGATGACAACCTTATGAAGTTTAACCATGCCAAGTGCAAGGTCCTACACCTGGGTCAGAGCAATCCCAGGCACAGCTACAGGTTGGGCAGAGAAGAGATTCAGAGCAGCCCTGCAGAATAGAAGGACTTGGGGGTGTTGGTCAATGAGAAACTTAACATGAGCCAGCTTCAGTGTGCACTTGCAGCCCAGAAAGCCAACCGTATCCTGGGCTGCATCAAGAGGAGCATGACCAGCAGGTTGAAGGAGGTGATCCTGCCCCTCTACTCTGCTCTTGTGAGACATCACCTGGAGTATTGTGTGCAGTTCTGGTGTCCTCAACATAAAAAGGACATGGAACTGTTGGAACAAGTCCAGAGAAAGGCCATGAGGATGATCAGGGGACTGGAGCACCTCCCGTAAGAAGACAGGCTGAGAAAGTTGGGTCTGTTTAGCCTGGAGAAGAGAAGGCTGCGTGGAGACCTCTTGGCAGCCTTCCAGTATCTACAGAGGAGCCTCTAGGGATGCTGGGGAGGGACTCTTCACTAGGGACTGTAGTGATAGGACAAGGGGTAACAGTTTAAAACTTCAACAGGGGAAGTTTAGATTGGATATAAGGAGGAAGTTCTTTACTGTGAGGGTGGTGAGGCACTGGAATGGGTTGCCCAAGGAAGTTGTGAATGCTCCATCCCTGGCAGTGTTCAAGCCCAGGTTGGATAGAGCCTTGGGTGACATGGTTTAGTGTGAGGTGTCCCTGCCCACGGCAGGGGGGTTGGAACTAGATGATCTTAAGGTCCTTTCCAACCCTAACTATTCTATGATTCTATTGTAAATTGACCAGTAAGGGCCACAATAGTTGATCATAATGTGGTTTTCTTTTCTTCCATGGAAAATATACAGTCTCCCTATAGTATATAGTATAACCCCAAGAATTTGGGGTTAAATGTGGGATCTATTTTAACTTAGTGTTCTGACTTTGTATATTTGGCAAAGTGATCTAGACAGCGTAAGAAATGAAAAAGCAGATTTGTTGCAAATAGCCTGTACCTTGTTTGTACTAAGGTGCTGGTAGACCATTCTATATATACAATTACTTTATGTAATAGGGTCTGTTTTCTTTTATTTAGTGTGTATCTGCAGATATCCATTCTAGGATATGTCTCAAGGCTTGAATCGTTTAGAATTAACGGAAACATTTGGAATGTGAGCACTCATCTGTATGAAGTTGCTTTGTGCAATAACAATGTGAAAGATTGCAGCCGCAATTTCGTTTGGTTATTATTGCTGTAGATGAATCTATTCTGTTCCTTTTTCATTGGTTCTTCTAGACATTGTTTCTTTTATTATTGTGGGGTAGTGCAATCTAAAGCAAAGGAAAAGCAAGGAAAAGGTTTTTTTGTTTCTTGATTCACATAGAGGGTAAGAAGTATGGGATGCTTATTTTCCCCCTTCCAAATCTAGATAGCTGTGGGGTTTTAATATATTGTTTGCTTGAAAATAACTGCAAACAATTTTGCAGACTGTAAATTGAAAAAGCAAGTATAGATTTAGTAAGGTATTGGCTGCCACTTCACTGAGCTTGGTTTGCTAGATTTTTGATGTTTTTATTTTTTTCTTTAATCCTATTACTTCCACTGCAAACCTGAGCATTTATAAATCCATATAGAAACAGTCTTGAAATTTCTGAGACAGGTCTGAGTTTTACAAAGTAAAATGTCAGAGGTGAGAATTCTCAAAGTGTATGTTAGAAGCATGTGGAATAGTGTAGGTGATTTCAAGTAAAAGGAAGTTAAAGAACTAAAGCCATGGAACAAAAAATACTTTCTACATGAAGGGAAATGGCAAAGCGTATTGTCATATATAATATAAGTGAAGAGACAGTAGATGAGGAAAATGAATGTCTGAGTAATGGAGGAGGTGTGTTGATTCGGAGAAAACTCCAGGAACAAACTTGCCAAAAAGTTTTCAAGCTGACAAGCAGCTATTCTTTATTGTGGCGCCGGGAGACACGGGGGATAGCTCCTCCTAACGTGTGTCTCCCCATTGCCACACAAGCTGTCCTTTTATAGCCACTGGGCATACATACGTATTCATGAGGCTACGTATGGATTACATAATTTTCCAGAAAGTGCCCCGCATGCGTACAGAATTGTGGTAGTGGTCTCTGAGGGTCGTTTACTTCTTCCAACAATCTTCATCACGTCTGGCAGCCTTTGAAGCACGCGCAGTAGGTGCTCATGCCAGTTTAATTGGTTCGTTAGCACCAGAGACATAATAATCCTCCTATCCTCCTACTTATCAGCTAGTTTAACTGCAGCCCATCCTGGACACGTGCTGTTCTCAGATACTCCTTATCCCTGTGTCCTGTTCTTCTAGACTGTTTTTCTTAAACTATGTCACAACTATAACAATTTATCTTGTGAGAATTCTCGGTATGTTCTCTAGCTGTACTCTATTTTTTTTCCTCTATGTATCATGCACTTCAGTAATTTTCCATTGCTACTGTTACAAAGCCATCAAACTTAACATTACTTAAAACTAATTCTAAAGGTTTCTATATTCCATTTTGTGATTTTTGTGCCCCCTTGTCTCAGTGTGCAAAAAGATCTGAATGAGAGGATATGCATAGGGTATTAGATAATATGTGGCACTGTTATGCTTCATTTCCAAAATGAAAACATTTTAAGTGTGGTTTTCTATGGCCAAGTCTGAGCTGTTCTGCCCAAAGCCTTGGATAATGACCAGTTCATATTCTTGAAAGTGATGACATGGAGAGACTGGTTGCATGTTGGAAGTCAGAACTCACATGAACTTAAATGTTCGTGACAAACTGGAAAATTACTGACAGACTGCAGGGAGAAAGATACTGCCTCAGCTGTTTGTAGCTAGAGATTCACTTGAACCTTGGGGAGAACTCTCACACAGTCAAGGAAGTAAAGTATTAGAAAAAATCAGTTAGTGAAGCTGCAGAGATTCCAGAGTAGAAGGTATCTGAAAACCAGGCAGGCAGATTGGGCAGACCAGTTTGGATTGAAGATACAAGTGCTTATGCCTTGAGGCAGAGTGTTGGTGTAAATGACCTTTACGAGATGCCTTTTCATACCACCTTACTACAGGAGAAGTTGAGAAGGATTACTGAACTTTCTGAAAGTGAGCGAGAAGGGAGTAAATGAGGATACAGTAGGAATGCATGAAGAGTGGTGCTGCTGAAGGTTTGGTTTATCTGCAAAAAAGTCTAGGCTGGATCTAAGTATAGAACAAAGGGGATTTGAAGACAGGGTAGTGTCTGGGCAATTGCAGCATTTAGTCTTTGGGAGCCAAGTGATGATATTATCAAGAAAAGGGACGAATTTGAGAAGAGAGTCATCATAACAATTATTGGTTATCAGGGTACGATTTCTTATCTAAGGAAGGACGTTCAGTAACTTGAGCAATGAAGGTAGTGAGAACAGACTCTAGGATCCAAGGTTCATTTACATTGTCATAAACTAACCAAGGAGTGAACTGGGGAGACAGGTAAATGACGAATTATAAACCTAAAATATATGCTTTTGACTATAAGAAGTTGAAAGATGAAAAGAAATTGTTCTTGCAATTTATTAATACGTGGCTAAGCATTCAGTTATAATATGGTATATCTTGTAGTACCATACCTTCGTACTAGAAGGTACACTTCTTCAGTAATCTATGTGAATTATAATAAAGTGTTAACTGAGGTTAGATTAGATGTTGGACAATATAGATATACAATAATATTGCTAGCTGTTAATGCTTGGGTGATAATGTTCTGTATTAAATGTTGATCTGACACTCCATGACAATATGCATTTTCTTTTGTTTTAATGCATCAGTTGCGGCAAGTTCTGGAACACTTGTCTCAGCAGAGTGAAAGCCAGTATCTTAAAATCCTAACAAGTCTTGCTGAAGTTGCTACAACAAATGGTCACAAACTGCTTAGGTAAGTGTGAGAGAATCATAAGTAAACTGATAAGTTACCTGGCAGTTAATGCCACTTAGTAGTTTTAATAATCTGAACTATCTCATGCCTGGCACATGCTGGAGTAGCCAGAACTGAAATCTGATTCTTAATGACAGTGCCTGTTCAGATCATTGTCTTGAGGAAAGGAAGTTGGTGTCCTTGTATGGCTGCTGGCCAAGAAGCCTGAGTTGCAGAGAAGTGCATTTTTTTTTAGTTTGGCTATAGCAGCTCTGGGAAGGGAAGCTTTTTAGCCAACTGCCAGTTTCTTCTCTTCCATATCTTAACTTTTCTGCATGATTTCTTACCATGTGTGAGAAGAGTCTTGCTGGTTCTGATTGCCTTCCATGGTGTTGTGGTTTAAACTCAGTCAGACAGCTTGTTCACTCACTTCCCCCCCTTCTTGCCCTCCCCCTACTCCCGGAGGAACGGAGAGGAGAATTGAAAAGAATGCAACTCCTGCGGGTTGAGATAAGAACAGTTTAGTAACTAAGGTATAACACAAATCACTACTGCTACCACCAATGATAATAATGATAAAGGAAATAACAAGGGAAGAGAAAACAACACCTCATCACCAGCCGACCGATAACTCACCCGCCCCAACCCTGACCAAGCACCGACCGATACCTCCTCCAACCCCGCAGTCTACCAGCCCTTCCGGCCAACTCCCAGTTACATCCTGGGCATGAGGTGCTGTGGTATGGAATACCTCTTTGGCTAGCTTGGGTCAGGTGTCCTGTCTCTGCTTCCTTCTGGCTTCCCCTCCTCCCTGGCAGAGCATGAGGCTCACAAAGTCCTTGGCCAAACCAAAACGTCATTGTTACCAGCTCTGTTCCTGAGCCAAAAGTCAAAACACTGCACTGCACCAGCTACCAAGAAGGAGAAAAATGACTGCTACTGCTGAACCCAGGACACATAGCTACTAATATATCTGAGACAAAAATTTACATGCCTCTGTGCTCTCAGCAATGCAAGCAGCAGTTACCTGGGGAAACACATAAGCAAGCATGTTTTCCTAATATGCTTTCCTAGTTTTTATGGTATCTGTTTGAGGGAGTTAGGTAATCTGTTGGAACACCAGTAACATTTTACTGTTTTCAAAACCTAGCAGAATCTGCTCTAACCTTTATGCTTTACTAAAAGCCAAGAAAATTTTTGTTGAGAGAGGTAAAGAGCCTAAAAGCATGAGTGGAATTTCCTTACTGACATGTTCTGGATGGCTTTTTGGAAGAGAGATTTAAGAATTGAAGACTGTTCTGTAACCAGTGAGGTCTGTCAGCATAGCTTGTAGAAGAATAAGATTTTGAATGCTTCTTTTCAACTGGGGCTGGAGTGTGAGGAGCCCGTCGTCTAGATGGAGATTAAATAATATATTCTTAGTTCTAGGTGCCTTTTTTTCCTTTGACATCAGTCATGTTAAATTTGGATGGAGTTTGTAGGTAGCAGGTCAGAACTCCTAGGCAATGCTAGGGAATTCATGACACCATTAATCACAGTCTTGTTCTGATGAGTGTTTGCCTCAGCGAATGAGTATAAAAAGCTTAAACCCCTCAAATAGTTGGTGTTAAAGTGCATAGACATATAAATGGCATTTTGTTGCTGCAAAGGTAACTTTTTGAAGAGCTTTAGCTGTTCCTGGGCTATAATGTGTAATCAGCTTAACTTGTAACACATTCCTTTTGTCTCCAGACTTCATTAGAGCCCATAGATCTCTCACTAATAAGCTGTGATAAAATGTAAAACCATTCTGCAAAAAAGGGTTTGAAACTTGCTTTATATGGTGACATTATCAGAAATCATGGTAGCTGGATTAGATCTTATGAGGCAGTATTAGTTTCTATTTCATTATCTTCAGAGATAAACTGACTGTGTTTAAATTTGATTTATTACTGTTATTACTCTTCTGTACTGAGCAGTGCTCCCTCAGTATGGCTGTAGAAACAGTATCTATGTGCCTGTACTGTCTCTGAATTTGAGCCAGTATGTACTCCTGTACTGCGGCATATTGGTTGTAGCAGAGGCTGAGGACAAATTGGAAGCTTTGCTCTGCATTGATGAGCAGGCATTTCCAGAAGTGCTTGTATTTAGGGTGTCCTGTGGATTCTTATTGGCCCAGTTCCCAGTTCTGTTGGGTACTTTGTAATATGTCACAAGGGAAATGGAATTATTTTCTTTTTCTATTACAAAACATAGTTTCACAAAAACTGTTCTCTCCAGTTCTGTTCTGTGTCAGAGGCTTCAGTTTCTACTTCAGCTAAGCATTTCTCAGCTGCTTTGTTATTAACATAATGAGGATGATGGTAGTACTTGGTGAATTATAGACCCTCTAAGCTTGGGCCTCTTTCCTCTCTGTCCTCCTTCCAACATATAGTATGTAAAATGCACTTTGTACATGAAAACCTCCAATAATGATGCTCTTGCATGGCTGAACTTAGTATCATCACTGCTATTTTCCTGGGTATTAACCCACAGCCCATTGTTGTTTGGTTTGTTTGTTGTTTAGTTCAAAAGTGTCTGAAGTTGTTTTTTGTAACGCCTCTATATCAGGTAGCCAGGAGTGCCACTTTGCTTCTGCTTGGGGACTTCTGCTTTGAGTACCAGCAAGAAGCCTGTCCAGTTGGCGTTGCCTCCATCGCACATTTCCTCTTTCCAAGGAATAATTATAGTGTGACCTAATTTGGTCTTGCTGGTGCCAATTGGGCCTAGGGGAATGTTTACAAACATGCTAATAAAAGCTTCAGTAAACTATAAAGTGCTTTAAGGTATTCTTAAAATAGTTAGGTCCTCTTCCTGCAGATTTAAACCTGAAACTTCTCCAAGAAAACACTGCTGTTGAGGGATGCTAAACTTCAATCAATGGGTTTTGGTTGGTTGGTTGTTTTTTGGTTTTGGGTTTTGTTTTTTTTTTTTCTTCTTAAAATTTTTGCTTATATAGAAGTGCTAATTTGTGGCTCTGACTAGAGATTCTGGCAATGTAATTACAGCCTGCTAGTCAGGGGATTTTCTTTACTGGTTAGAAACTTAACAGTGCATCTCTGTGTTTCTTTCTTATCTCTATTTACTGAAAACTTCTCTGGTTAAAGTCTAGGTTGTGACAAGAAAGTTGTACTTTGTTTATCAGTTTGGTAAAATTCTTCGTATGTGGCGTTATGAAATTAATACCTCTCTGTCAGTCATTCAGATGTAGTGCTGAAAACAGATAGGTCTTTTGCTTTTACCCATGCCATAGGGAGAGTGACATCATGGTGAAGGTACTGTTACAACTAGCTGTTTCAGATTTGTGAATTAACATCTTTATTTGCATCAGAGGTTTACAGCATGCTCTAAGATGTCAGTTTTCTGGTCTGTACTGATCTTACAGTTAGAAAACATGCTTCTAAGTTGCAAGTAGTTTAAGGATATAATTGAATATGTACTCGCATAAAATGTGTAAAGTTCAGTGGAAAAAGTTTAAATTTCTTGCATTTTTTGTATTGTGTTCAAGATAAAAGAATTCTTATTACTTGGGATTTAAGGAAAGAAAACAAAGTTGAATTTGGTGGAGAATGTTCTGCTTGTGCATGAAGTCATGAGTATCTTGTATTCTACACTGTATTGGTGCGCAGTTCAGTGTTGGCCAGTTCAGTTAATATAAAACTTTTCCTATATTTTTTTGATAAATAAAATAGCACAGTGGTGCTATTGTGTAGTATGTTTTAGATGACGTTTCTCCTAGGTAGAAATAGCGTCATCATTATCATCCTGATTCCTTGTCTGATTGAGGTCTTTAATGAGTATTTAGAAGAATGTTGAGGATGGGCTGTGGCAGCATATCTGATTAGTCAGTGTGCCTACTGGATGCTGTCTTTTCTGAACTGAGAAACATTTTAATCTGGATATCCCAATTTGTTTCACATGTTGAAATCCTTACTGTACTAAGTTGAATTTCTTACCAATGGTTCATAAGAAGTGTACGTGTACATAAAACCAAAATAAGTGTTTTGCAAGATCTGGAATTTGCTGTTCTTATTTCACTTCTAGTTGAAATTTTGAGTGTATGTTAGGACACTTATAGTGCTTATATTTGATTTTTGGGGCTGGTGCAGGAAATTAAAATTAAAATTCATTAGGGTTTTTTTTTCAGCGTACGTGTCAGACCCTACCATTAGATTACTTACTCCTTAACATACTAAATTGTGTCATCAAGGAAAAAAAACTTAAATATTCCGTTTTTTCCCCCAGCTTGTCAAGTAATTATGAAGCTCAAATGAAGAGTCTCTTAAGGATCGTGAGGATATTTTGCCATGTCTTTCGCATTGGCCCATCCTCTCCCAGTAATGGAAATGACATGGGCTACAATGGAAATAAAACTCCAAGAAGTCAGGTGTTCAAGGTCAGAAAAGTATATGATGTTGTTAGGAAGATAGACGTTAAAGAGATGAATTTCACAAAGCATGCATTCATTAATCAGACATCTCATGAACAGGAAGTAAGTTTGGTTGATGTCCCTATCCCTTCTTACGTTAAGCCTACCTCTTTCCTTCTAATTTTTTTTATCCCTCCTGGATTCATTTAACCACTGATGCACATCTCATGACTTCTTTTTATTTCTTATTTAGTATGTTGTTTAGTAGATGTTGAAGGCTTAGTTACTCAGCTGATTTTGGTAAACTTTGTTTTTATTTCCTTTATGTTGTGTAAGAGTATAGTAATCTCAAAATGGAGTAATATTAATTTAATAGATTGTATTAATGTAATTTCAAAGTCCTGTTTGGAGATTCGCTGGGAATTCTGATCACTTAGTTTTATCCAGCTTCACAACATAAATGGAAACAATTGAACTCTTAATCTGTTCATTGTTTTCTCTGTGACCATGAAGTTTTTTTCCTAAGTTGGTCTTGAGTATTATTATTATTGTATCCTTTAAAACATACCAGCTTACTACTGCTTTTGTGAGGTTATTGATTTATATGCTTTAGGTGCTTGACATTTAGAAGTTTAATTTCTGATTTTTGTTTTTTATCTTTTTGGGTTTTTTGGGTGTTGTTAAATACTTCTTGGTTGAGGAATCCCTCTGCATAAAATTACAGCTTACCTTTTCTGTAAAGAAGTCCTGGTTTCCTGCGTGCCACTCAGCATGCATTGGGTATGCAACTGACATATTATTCAGGGCACCTAAATAATAAGAACTGAAGGGTATCACAGTATCACAGTATGTTAGAGATTGGAAGGGACCTCGAAAGATGATCTAGTCCAATCCCCCTGCCGGAGCAGGAACACCTAGATAATGTTACACAGGAATGTGTCCAGGCGGGTTTTGAATGTCTCCAGGGAAGGAGACTCCACAACCTCCCTGGGCAGCCTGTTCCAGTGTTCCGTCACCCTCACTGAGAAGAAGTTTCTTCTCAAGTTTAAGTGGAACCTCTTGTGTTCCAGTTTGTACCCATTACCCCTTGTCCTATCACTGTTTGCCACTGAGTAGAGCCTGGCTCCGTCCTCGTGACACTCCCCCTTTATATATTTATAGACACTTATAAGGTCACCCCTCAGTCTCCTCTTCTCCAAACTATAGAGACCCAGCTCCCTCAGTCTTTCCTCATAAGGGAGATGTTCCACTCCCCTAATCATCTTCGTCTCTTACTTTCTCCTATCTTCCTCCTAACTCTTACATGGGACAGTTCATATTACTAAATTTAGACACCAGTGATTATGTGGGTATTTTCCATAAACTTCATATTTCTTTCAGAGTGTCATGAAGATGATATTTTGGCATTACTGCATTTGTTTGATATGTGTTCATTAGGTTAACTAAAGACTTTTAAGACAGAGCTGTATCAGTAAGGTTATGAAAGATGATACTCTTAATTCCAGCTACATTTAGTTAAGTAGCTCAGTTTTTTAAATTTCTTCTCTTGGAAAGAGGGAAAGCATTAGTCTATTTAAAAAAAAGCAAGCATAAATGTTTTTCTGATAGCAAAATGATTTTAATAATCAGTTGATTTATACAATAAATATAAAACTACTGCTCAAATATGAAAAATACTGTGTGCAAAATATAATCCATTGTACAGTGTACAATGTAATAATTGTCCTTTACAGTTGTTCAGTAAAATATATGGAGCTAGATTGGCACATTTAACCAGATTTTTGTTTTCAAAAACCAAAACCCTATGCAAATCACAAGACTGATTTTATGAAAGACAGCAATTTCTAATGTTTTTAGTGAAAATTCATTTAAATACAAGAAGCAGACGTTAAATATGTTTAATACAGGAACCGTCTGCAGTGAAATATTGTGTTACCTTTTCTTCTTCAGGTTTTAGGAGTAGCTGACTTCATCTCATTAAAAAAAAAAAAAGAAAGCCTTTCAACTCCAGATCATTTTAGAACCCACAATAAAGCAAACAGAAAAATTCAGCTGCAATTTGCAAAGGAAATACAGTTTCCTTTGCAAATTGCAGCTGCTTAAACCACCGTTGTTCTGCTTAAACCACGACGCAGTGGAATCGCTTAACTGTGTGCTCAGACTACTTTGCATGCTGAAAGTCATTAGTGTAGAGTTAAGCCTTGTGCAGTAGACTTACATGACACAACTGGTACACTTGTCCCAGAAAATATTTTATGTAAACCAACACTTAACGTTTTCTAATAAATGACAAGATATGTGCTACTCATGCATTAGCTAGCAAACCAAAAATTTCAGGATAATTTTACAATTATTATTGCTATTACTTTGTTTAATTAAAAAGTATTAAAACTGAGGCAGCCCTTCATTAGGGCCCTGTTGTCTCCGTGGTATTTTGAAGTTGATGGAAATTTCAAACTCAAAAATACAGAACTGCCGAAGAGAGCTTACTCTTTTTGGGCAGTGGGGCACACAGGTCTGGCAAGGTGAAGTTGATCTTCAGTTATAGATGAACGAGTGGTATCCCTCAGGGATCGGTGTTGGGACCGGTCTTGTTTAACATCTTCGTCGCGGACATGGACAGTGGGATTGAGCGCGCCCTCAGCAAGTTTGCCGATGACACCAAGCTGTGTGGTTCGGTTGATACGCTGGAGGGAAGGAATGCCATCCAGAGAGACCTTGACACACTTGTGAGGTGGGCTGATGCCAACCTCATGAGGTTTAACCATGCCAAGTGCAAGGTCCTACACCTGGGTTGGAGCAATCCCAGGGACAGCTACAGGTTGGGCAGAGAAGAGATTCAGAGCAGCCCTGCGGAGAAGGACTTGGAGGTGCTGGTCGATGAGAAAATGAACATGAGCCGGCAGTGTGTGCTCACAGCCCAGAAAGCCAACCGTATCCTGGGCTGCATCAAGAGGAGCGTGACCAGCAGGTCGAAGGAGGTGATCCTGCACCTCTACTCTGCTCTTGTGAGACCTCACCTGGAGTATTGTGTGCAGTTCTGGTGTCCTCAACATAAAAAGGACATGGAACTGTTGGGACAAGTCCAGAGAAGGGCCACGAGGATGATCAGGAGACTGGAGCACCTCCCGTATGAAGACAGGCTGAGAAAGTTGGGTCTGTTCAGCCTGGAGAAGAGAAGGCTGCGTGGAGACCTCATAGCAGCCTTCCAGTATCTGAAGGGGGCCTGTAGGGATGCTGGGGAGGGACTCTTCATTAGAGACTGTAGTGATAGGACAAGGGGTAACAGTTTAAAACTTCAACAGGGGAAGTTTAGATTGGAAATAAGAAGGAAATTCTTTCCTGTTAGGGTGGTGAGGCACCGGAATAGGTTGCCCAGGGAGGTTGTAAATGCTCCATCCCTGGCAGTGTTCAAGGCCAGGTTGGACGAGGCCTTGGGTGATATGATTTAGCATAAGGTGTCCCTGCCCACGGCAGGGGGGTTGGAACTAGATGATCTTAAAGGTCCTTTCCAACCCTAACGATTCTATGATAATTAGCCTGTTCTTCCCTGAATTTATATTAACTAGCTAGTGAGAGATTATACATAATGCTGAGTCAATTGAGTGAGTTCTCTCTTATTCTTACCTGCCCTTTACTTTTCCTTTTTTAACTTTTCCTTGAAAACATAGTTGTGATGGTCCCTTTTACCTTCTGAGAGGAGGGAAAATAGCCCACTGTATCTCTAGGTAATTGCAATGGTATGGAGGCTCCTTAACACTTGTCAGTTGTATGTCTTCTTTTCTACCAGTACTTGCATGTGGGACATGCAGGTCAGAGATAAAGAACTCCTTTTCTGTTTGTTTGATGGGGGTTGGTTGGTTGGTTTGTTTGTGTTTTTTGGGTTTTGGTGTGGGTTTTTTGCTTGTTTGTTTTGGTTTTGTTTTGTTTGAATTTTCTTAAATATAGGCTGTGTAACTGTTTAGTACAGACTATTAAGGAAACCACAAAAGTTGCTGCTGAAAAATAGGAGTTAAATCTGTATTTAAAAAGTCAGCATGGATCTTAAAGATTTAAATTTGAGATCCAAATTGAAAATTTTAGAGGAAATTAGCTTTAAATTGGCATTTGCTGCTGATCTTTAAATTCAGTTGTGGGGTAAATGTTGTAGATGATTTGAATTTTGATACAGATTTTATGGGGAAAAGGTCTCTTAGACTGCTGGGTCATGTCCCTTGTAGGGATTTGAGTACTGTGTAGAGCACGAGAAAGTGATACAGGTCACCACCCACTTCTCTGAATGCTGTTCATTTGAGCGAGCGAAGACCTCTAGGTATTTTCTTTCTTTAATATATGGGAAGCTAATCTGTTGTTCAGTACTCTCTTCTTTCAGGAGCTGACTTAGAAACTTTTATCTGGGGAGGATTGGGGGCAGCTGTGGCAGGAGTTCTGTCTTGTGGTAGGTAGCCTTGTGGGATATGTGGACAAACATTATCAGGCCTTATTGCATGGTATAAGGGATTGTTTCCTTTCCTTCTGATTGTACTCATGTTAGTTCCAAATAGATCTGTACCTGATAACTTGTAAGATCTACTTCATAACTCTTTTAAAATGCTGGTACAAAACCATATTTTATCCAGTATAAGAACTGAAGAAAAACTTTCTTCAGACTTTTTTCTTTATGTGTATTAAGGCTTTCTGTATTGTACTGATTTAATGTATTTTGAAGAGTTGCCACTGTAGTCTAGCTTGAAAGGCATTACAAATGTGAGTATATCTTGATCTGAGACTACTGAGGGATGCTATTGCTTGACAAAGACAAAAAAAATCGCAGGGCCGTCTTCATTTTGTTGAAGTTCTCTATATGTAATTCATTACAGGCATGGTCAATTCAGGTCTGTCCAAATGTTTTGAAGTGGAAACACTTAAGACACACTCTTGTATTGGTCTTCCAGGAAGCAAAATCCTCATTGAATTTGAACACTCAGTCTTCAAACAAGCCACTGTTAGCTTGGACCAAATAGTACCAGTGAGCAAGTTCATGAATAGTAATTTTGACCAACTTCACATTCATTACTTTTTCATGTGTTGCTCTTCCAGTTGCTGTGCAGTATGGTCACATATTAGGGAAACTTGTTGCAAAATTTCCCTGTCTAATTGAACAAAGTTGGGAAGCCTCTAACATTTCCCTCATTTCTGATCTTTTCTGAAACAGAATTCAGTTCTCTCCTGTAACAGACTAACCTCAAGGATTGGTGATCTCCTGTTCCCTGTGTCTTAACAAACTATGTCACCTGGCAAAAGGTTTTGCTTCAGTGTTGTAGTTTGAATATGGGTTTGATTTCTAGTGTCCTGCTTTCTAGATGGGTAAAGAAGAAGTTGTTGCATAATTAAATCCTTGCATTTGAGAGATTAGGTGTGCTCTTGTAAAAGCTTGGTACCCAGACTTGGGTGTATAATTACAAAGAACTTTTCTGAAATATGAGATACGAAAACTGAAGGTTGAGTGGAGGTTTATGGTTAATATGTGATTCATGGTAGGAATTGACTGAAGAATGCTGACTTGCGGTATTGAAAACATGTTGCTAATGGTTTGATTGACAATGTCCACGTTATGCTTGAAAAGGTCTGATCATGGATGCTAACAAAAAATGTTGACCACCATGGATATGGAGGTGGTGGACAATACTTATAGGTAGCTTTATATACTGAGGTTAGACTAGGGAAAAAAAAGGAAAGTAAAAATTTAAAGTCACCACTACGCTTTTGACTGAGTTTGTGATCAGAATCTGTAAAAAGCTAGCTTTGGAAAAACAAGTCAGTAGCAAGAGTTCTGGAAGGTGTTCTGGGTCTGTGGGAAATAAAAGATAAGACATAAGATATCAGCAGAAAAATGGTGTCTGGCAGGCTAAGCATTGAAAAGTTTGGGAGAAGTAAACTAGATTTTAGTGTTATAGTAAACAACTACCTAGTTTCTCATGTGTTAAGAACACAGCTACATTTTTTCCCATATATTCAATGAATTCTATTTTCCATTAGAAAATTTTTCTGCATTATGTTTTGTGGTGAAGGTCTGATGAATAGGTCTTGGCAGACTTGAAAGAAGCTAACTTGATCCTGTGTGGGAGATGTTTATGTAGAAAATAATACCTACACTCGAGGTATTCAGGTCACCATCTAGAGTAATGTATGGTCACTAAGAGTATAAGGATTATGTGAGTGTCATACAGCATGTTGAGCAAAGCCTGTCAGTCTTGGAGATCAGGCTGACTTTACCCAAAGTTCTTATTGAGGAAAAAATGGAAGCATAACGGTAATTTTTTTTTTTTGAATGGTAAATTTGAACAGATTGTTTTAATACACAGCTTTCATGAGAAGTAATTTACGGTGTATTGAGAGTGTGTCACTAAGAGGTGTACTCACAGTGCTCCAGATGACGTAGACTTCTGGTATAGTGTGCTGTGAATCTTAACTTTTAAAAGTAACTTTAGAATATGAGAAGATAATTTTCAATATCTGCTAGGTCTTTGAATGTTTTAATTGGTAAAAAATGTTGATACCACAGTAATACGTAGAAAAAGGAGTGCATTTAGAAGTTTACTCTTACTTCTGGAATGCTGTGAAAGATTTGAGTCAGAATTGCTTCCCTGTAGGATGTATATCCCTGTGATCACTATGCTATGCTTGGGAAACAGCCTTAACACCATTAAGGTCTCCTTAAACACCATTAAGGGACAGCACAGTCAGCCCTTGTGTTTTTTTTTTTTTTAAATGCTCACAAGTGTGCCGCAATTCTCAGCCCTGTCTCTCCTCTGTGGTAGTCTTGAACCTCAGAGCAAATGTGTGATGGTGGAATTGCACCAGATTTCAGTTGTATCAGTTTTAAGTTTGTGGTAGTGAATAAAGAATGACTTTGTTAAGATAAAATATATAGCTTTAAAAATTAATATGTAATTCTGCTGATACTTGTTTCTATTTTGTAAAGCCTAGGTCTTAGTGGCCCTTACTTGGAGACATCTGGGATAGTATCAAAATGGCCTGTATGAGCTCACGCTATGCATAAAGCGCATTTTATTAGATGTGCATGAACCTGAACCTCAGTGGTATTGTTTGGGGTTTCCTCCATCTACGTGGTAGAGGGAGGTTGTTTGATCAGGGCCTTAAAAAAGAACTGACATGTTCTTACTCTGGAAACTCAATATATATGTTAAAGTTTTCTTGGCTGCAGCAGTCAGGTAGTGGTGTGCTGTGTAACCATCAGGAGGTCAAACTCTGAAACAGTTCAGGATTTCACTCTTTCTAAATTATTTTATCTTTACTCCATTGCTGCTTGATATTTTACTTCTATATGACATTTGTTCTTTGTGCTCTATGGCTACAAGTATGGATTATTATTTTTTTTTTTTAGTATTTGATTCCTATCTCTAACGTGACTTCTGAAGGATCATGTAAAGCTTTTAAATATGTGTGATATTTGTTTGCCTTAAGAGGATTATCACATCATTAATGTTATCTAATGTCAACATGTTCTTTTTTTGTCTGTTTTTGCATGTTTATTGCAGCCACTGGAACTGCTCTGGCATTCTCTAGATGAATGGCTTGTTCTTATAGCCACGGAGCTGATGAAAAACAAAAGGGACTCTGCCAACATTACTTCTATTTTACTGAAGCAAAAAGGACCAGATCACCAGGGTGCTACTCCTACGCCTTCCTTTCCCACTGCAGAAACTGAGGGCACAAAAGAGCTATCCACTGATGCTGTCGAGTTGAAAACATATGATGTTGCTGGGAAGCAGGAAGCTTGTGCTGATCGCCAGGATGTTATCTCCATGACAGCAAACAGGCTAAGCGCTGTCATTCAAGCCTTTTATATGTGCTGCTCCTGTCAGATGCCTCAGGGGTAAGGAGAAGATCCTGTTAGTTACTGAAGTTGTTATATGCTTTCTTGGAAGAATTTTGGTGCTGATGAGGTAATATTAGTGACAGTCAAGGGTAATCACTGTTGAATGCATTATTTTTATTTTTATTTTTTTTTTCCCATCTTTAGCGGCACCAAACAGCACAGCAGAATTTCCATAGTGCTTCTGCCTCTGAACATAGCTGCACTGGGGCAGATTTTGTATTGAATGTCTAACGGTTCTTTGTAATCATGTGGGCTACTTGCAAGTTATGTAATTTTGATCTCTTGAAATTTAGCTATTCTTGCTTTTGGTTCATAATGTGAAATTATTCATTAATTTAATGTGACTATCTAACAAGAATAACTTTAAGCTCAGAGAAAAATGTGAGTTATCTTTGTTTATGAAAATGACAGCTGGGGCAAAAGTTGTTTGGCTATATTGCAGAAGCTTATAATAAGGAGAGTACAGTCTCAAAGTAATGGTTAGTTGGCAGACAGTTTTGTGTGGAACAGGCACTACAACTTGGGTAAATTTAGTACTCTCAGTGCCTGGTTTAAAAAGGAAAAAAGTGTGTCCACTATAACTGACGTCTTTGTCTGAGATTGGTGTGGATTGTACTTACGAACATGCAGGGAAAGGATCCTTCAACCCTGTTGAGTGGAAGATTAGGCAAGTATGGTGGTTTTACAAGCTCCCTGAGGAATTCAGAAGCAAGGTTCCCACTACATGACAACTCTTGGTTACCCCCAGCCACTGTAAGTGATTTTCTTTGACAAACTGAGTGGAATAAAAGTTTTCAAGTCAGCCAGCACTGTTTGAGGCACACTCCTCTGTGGACACTCTGGAAGACAATCTGGGGATCAGCATGTTCCACAAGTACCTCAGTATTTTCACTTTTAGGGTTTTACCATCTTGAAAAAGGAACTGCTGCTTAGCAATTTCCCTTTAAATCTCCATCAAACTTTACTAAGAAAAAATGCCAGTATGTTACTTATAGCAGCTAAAGTAGAAATGTTTATAGTAGTGATTAAGTACATTTTCCCCAGTTTATGTCTTTATGCCAAAATTCAGTTGAGGAGGTGACTTCCCCCTGCACCCAGGTGGTTTGCTGATGTGTCCTGCCAAATGCATGTGCACCTATGCATGCTTTGTGCTCCAAGTTAAGGAGAACTCCTCTGCGTACTACATAAGTTTAACTTAAGAATTAGGAGCCAGGAGAGTAAGAACTGTTTCAGTGACAACTGGGAGAACTCCCTTGGATACAGGAAAGTAAGGCAAAGCACACCTGAGTTCTGTGTTGGTTTAGGGCTTTTCAGAACTGTGTACAGAAGAACAAAGATCTGAGACTTACTCTGTTTTACTGACGTTTTCATATTAGTAGAAGTAAATGGCACAGTGGTGTAATTCAATACTGCTGCCATCTTCAAATAATATTTGAAATTATAACAAATGACATTTTCAGGGAAAATAATTTAAAATGGCTTTGATTTTAGATTTGTGTGTCTTTGTTTAATGGAGGAGAGTAAACAGTGCGCTGTTTTCCATTGTTCCTAGTACTCATACAATAAAGATGGCATTTCATGCTGGTTGACATTTGAAATATTGAGGTTATTTTCTTTTACTTGCCGTGATTGCTTTTCTTCTGCAAATGCTGTTATTGAATCTGGGCATTCTTTTGTTAATGCACTGAACTACAGTGTTCTGAATCTTCAGCATCAAAACTGATGAGTGTGTGCAAAGTTGTGGGTTTTTTTTGTTTTGTTTTGTTATCCTGGACTTTTTACAGTTATTTCTCACAACTTTTCAAGGCAGTTGATGAGAAGGGTTTATTCTTGCTTGCAAGTATTAGCTTTTGCGGAAGCTAAAGGATCCACTTAAGAATTTCTCTGTTTCAAAAAATACAGGAGATAGTTGTAAATAAAAAGAGTAAGATTTGCACCTATGTTAATCCTTACCTTGTTTTCCAGATATAAATAGGAAAAAAATACAGTTCCATATTAGTGCATGAGATGCTTGCCTGGCAAGCAATTTTGTTGTTTCATGAAGCCATTAAATACAACTTTGTCCCCCATTATTAAGTCTGAGTTTGTAAGGTTATTTCTTCATGGCTGTTTCCTCACTTGCCACAATCTATATGGTGTGTGGTAGGAGTTATATACAATGAACAAAAATACAGAACAATGCATATCATGTATATTGTGCATATAACATCATTCTTTCCATATAAATATTTCTGTTGTGCCAAAAGCTGAAAGGGTTTCATTGTATTTCTGTTAGTTTGGCCTTTTCTTGTTCATTTAGATGATAAGAGTTAGTGGTGAGGTTGCTTGGCCTTCTTGATTATTGTGGGATTTGCCTTTTCTGTGAGCTTATTATGAAATCTTAATGCTGCTGAGTATTTAGTTTTATGATTGACTAGTTATATAAAGAAAAATGGATGTTGTTTAATATTTTATTAAAAGAACACAACAGTTTATGTAATTCAAATTATTTTCAGTATCATTAACTGAAGCGTTTTTTGCACAGGATGACGTCGCCTCGTTTTATAGAGTTTGTCTGTAAACATGATGATGTCCTTAAGTGTTTTGTTAACCGGTAAGCTTTGAGAAGTACAGAATTTCTAATTTCTTTGCTTTTTTTCTTCCCCAAATAATTCAAACTCGTATATTTTTCTTCTTAATGAGTTGTCACAACAATAACCTCAAAATACATGTGAACCACATGTACTTCAGTGGTCCTGCCAAATTCAAGGGAGTGCATACTAATGATTCAGAGAGCTCAGTTAAATGAACTGCTCTGCGTTTGATGGTGAGATTTAGTGAACAAATTTTTTGTCATAGAGCAACAGAATAATTTCCTTAATGCATTCTTCCTTCATTTTCGTTCCAAAAAAGCCTTCCATATTGAGGCAGGTGAAAGCTTTCATTCTTCCTCAAATGTGTTATACATATAACTTATTGAAGGAGCCTAAACCATCTTTGCACACTTGGCTATTTCCAGTGTTTCTCTGGACTGCCCACTTTATAATATTGCTTCTAAATGGAGAGCTGCTTGTAATCTTCCATGCTAAAAGGATAAGGTAGTACAAGTAATTTGGAAACATGAATTAAGAAAACATTACGAAAATGAAGAGTTTGTTGGAACTTTTCTGTGTGATTAATTGCATTGTCTCTTTATGTAGACTTCGTATAACATGAAGTGTTATTATTAGATCTCTGACTAACAGGCTTCTAACCTATTTTTATTTCAGAAATCCCAAAATAATTTTTGATCACTTCCATTTTCTTCTCGAGTGTCCTGAACTAATGTCCAGATTTATGCACATCATAAAAGCCCAGGTAAATGTCAGGAGATGCTTGGTTACAATGTCTATGAGTTTGTTTAATAATAATGATAACAATTTAAAAAAATCCATTTGTGGAGGATGGAAGAACTAAGTGTGGGCTCCAGTGCTTCTGAATCTGGGATGTTGAAAGATCAGATTAAATAGACATGGCAGCCAGATTTCTGTACTTGTAATTCTTTGAAATGCATGTTTAAGTCTTATTTGAGATGACCAATGTTAAATAAGTCTTACAAGTCCAACTTTCAGTTAAAATTTCCTCCTATTATTAAACTTATTTGTGCACATCTAATAGATTCAGCTTTAACATGCTGTGATTTTTCCTTAATTGACTTGATTTTGAGATAAACCAGAGGATAAATACACCACTATTAGTTGATTTGGCCATAGTTAATTAGCAATAGTTCCTTCAGTGAGACATAATGTTGTTACTCTTTACTCTGTTTCCTACCATTTGCTTTTGTTTGGGTTTTTATTTTTATTTTTTTATTTTTATTTGTAAAATCCTGATGCCTTATATAATCTAAACTTACTTCTCAGTTTAACATGTGACATGAATTCAAAACTAAAGCATTACTCTAGGAGTAAGACTAATATAGTTAAGTGGAAAAATTAGCGAGTGAACGCCACACCCCCATCTCCCCATATGGAAGTCTGCTGCTTTACATAGCACTTTAGTGTTAAGCATCTGCCATGTTTTCATCACTTAGCTTTAAAAGATTATGATTGTCTACTTGTAGCTGAGGGACAAGGCTGCATGTTTTTTTCTATTATGAATGAAGATGGTCTTGGCCAATAATAAGCTATTTGAAACTCCTTCATTTAGCACACACTGGTTTAATTTTGCTTTGTTCTCTATTAGAAAGGTTCCTTACATTAAACTGTTTTGGTCAAAGACATAATTTGCTGAAAATAAAGGTAAAATTCCTCTGACCAGACACCTTCCACCCACCCCACAATAATTGTGGAGGGTCTGTTCCAAAAGTTTTATTTCTTTAGTTGTGCCTCTATTTTTAGATGTACATTGTTTTTTTGGTAATTGTATTTTATTTTTAGAACATGGTCTAGGTGTATTGTTTACTTTTGGTTGAAATATACATTTTTTAAATTCAGTATCTCTGAATAATGAAGAGACCCTGAGAACTGTTAGATCAACTAAAAGTGTGTGCTGTGAATTGTGATAGATGAGAGAGGCCATACTTGGGTCATATCTATCTTGGCAGAACTGCAAAATATTTATCTAAATACTGAAAACGAGCTAGAACCTTCTCAGCTAGGAATTGCTTTGGAACCTTTCTGGTCCCTTTGGGCTGTTCTTTATTGCCAGTGAACTTTACTGCAAGTACCCTTTGTTTATATCATTTGTGCTAACGTGCTCAGCTGTGGTTGATAATAAGTAGTGTTACAGAAGCCAGTGACTGACTTCTTATATAGATTCCTTTTACCCCTGCCCTGGAAGAAGTTTCGTGCTATTTTTTTTCTGTGTGGTGATAACTAATGGTCCAGTCTTTCTGCATATCACGCTTCAGCAAGCACACAAGGGTACGTTTAGTCCTTTCCTCTTCCCAAAATACTGTATAGCATATTGACGTAGCACCAAGTGACTCTGCACATCTCAAAAATGAGAAGTATGTATAACCATTTTCCAGTCATGCTTATGAGAGGGGAATTATTTGGTTGAATGCATCTATATAATGTGGTATACCCCTTGTTTTGTAGCCATTTAAGGATCGTTGTGAATGGTTCTATGAACATCTGCATGCTGGGCAGCCAGATTCAGACATGGTGCATAGGCCTGTCAATGAAAATGACATCCTTTTGGTTCACAGAGGTATTGTATTATAAATAGAATTAGTATAGCTTTGAAATACACTGAAATACAACAAATTAAGAAAAAATAATTGTTGCTTTTTATTCAGATTCTATTTTTAGGAGTAGCTGTGAAGTTGTTTCTAAAGCAAATTGTGCAAAACTAAAGCAGGGGATTGCTGTGAGATTTCATGGAGAAGAAGGCATGGTGGGTAAAATTGCATGGTTTTCCTTTATGATATATATAGAAATATTCTGTTTCACAAGTATTGTTAAAAATCCTAATTTAAGATAAATTTTATGCTTTATTAAGAAATGTCTGGTTGCCCTGTGTAACTGTTTGTGCAGTGATGGTTGTACTAATATGATAATATCCTGGGCTGCATCAAAAGGAGCGTGACCAGCAGGTCAAAGGAGCTGATCCTGCCCCTGTACTCTGTTCTTGTGAGACCTCACCTGGAGTATTGTGTGCTGTTCTGGTGTCCTCAACATAAAAAGGACATGGAACTGTTGAAACAAGTCCAGAGAAAGGCCACGAGGATGATCAGGGGACTGGAGCACCTCCCGTATGAAGATAGGCTGAGAAAGTTGGAACTAGATGATCTTAAGGTCCTTTCCAACCCTAACTATTTTATGATTCTATGATTTTCTGTGTACTAACATGTTTTATTCTTTTGACATGCAGGGACAGGGTGTTGTGCGTGAGTGGTTTGATATCTTATCCAGTGAAATAGTTAACCCAGATTATGCCTTATTTACTCAGTCAGCTGATGGTATGTCTTTGCCTTTTTATTCTTTCCTAATTCTATGGTGCTGCCTTTTATAATACAAGAGAAAAGTTACTTGCTTTCAGAATGTAGGATTTATAAACAACACTGGCAGAATTGTTTTCATATATACGGAGAAGTGATCTATCATTGTACATTTTTATAACTACAGAAGAAATATTTTTCCTAATTTGACCTTTCCTTGATTTTGTCCTCTCTTTTGTAAGAGGAGAACAAGTTGTTGATTTTAATTAGTCCATGGTATTTCTGCCTGGTAGAAGAAAGACATAACACTTTGAGGGCAGTATAGAAAGTGTTTTCCATAGGGAACGTAGAGGTATTTCTTTATTTTCTTTTAGAAATCCATTAATTCAGTCAGTTTTTGTGGTAAATCCAGATGTTGATCTGAAAGGTCTACCTTGTATTTGTCTTTTTGGTGCTTCATATAAAGTAAATCTTCATCAATAAGAGGTTTCACGTCATCATCAAACGATAAATGTTTTGTGTTCTACCTTACAAAGTCTTGAGAAGTGGCAAGGAACTTGGTCAACAGAACAGGCATAGGTAGTTCCTGAAAGTTCAAAAGAAAAGTTCAAGCATGTCTGAAGTGGCCTTTCCTAAGGACACCACAACTGAACTATTTTCTGGCTGCATCTGCCTGGAGCCAGATAAAAGGAAGTACATGCATTCTGATCCTTCCTTTGGGCATGTTCGCAAGTTGATACTGTGAATTGTGGCCCATTAAAGTAAGCAAGAAATGCGTATAGCAGTATAGTAAAATGGAGGATCGAATTCAGCAGGTCATGATTACCCTTATGTTAATTATTTCAGAGTGGTGCCTTGGAAAGTAGCTAAGCAGTATCACTAATAGTAGGATGCCATTACATTATGGTACATTTCTTTCTGGCATCTTTTTGGCATAAGCAAAAAATCCCAGATAATCTTCTAAAACCTTGAAATACAACACTTTCAGTGGTTTCAGATGCTTAGTGTATTTGATAATTTTGAACTTCACTTAAAAAGTAATGAAACATTCTATGATAATATTTTATTTTACAGGAACAACTTTCCAGCCCAACAGCAATTCTTCTGTAAATCCAGACCATTTGAACTACTTCCGTTTTGCAGGACAGATCCTGGGGCTAGCTCTGAATCACAGGCAGTTGGTGAACATCTACTTCACGAGATCATTCTACAAGCATATTCTTGGTATGGTTTTATTAAAATCCTGTTTATTAGTCATGTAAGCAGTGTGTGTTTTAAAAGTGAAAAAGTCTTTAGAAATAAATGTCTTGCTAAACTTTTACATGCATAAGTCACGACATAGTATGGCAGTAATTGCTATTCCACTTTGAGCTTTTGTTGGCAACTGTTACAGTTGCAAAATACAGAAATACATTAGCATGTAGGAAATTCTGTGTAGGAAATTCTATACAGTTAGAAACTTTTAATAGCTAATCTTACTGTTTATATGGATCTTAAATTAAAACCAAGGAAGGCATCATTAATCTGTCTGAAGCATAACAATATAATTTAGTTGTCTTTAATGTTGCTGACTAGGAATGCCTGAAAGGCAGACTGGTGTTAATCAGTTGTTTTTATGGTGTGTGCAATTCTTGCATCACAGTTGTGAAAATCATCTGTCCTGCCATGTAAATATAGACTTTTCTTTTTAATAGAGAATTACGGCTCTTAGCTGATAGTATCTGTGGTATAGGTCTCTGCTCTTCTTTGAGAACCTTTGTGTTTCTTGATTGTTGAACATGATGCCCTCTGTTCTGTGTTCTCATGAAAGACTTTTCCTCTTTATGGAGGTGTGATGGAAGGGTAAGTTCCTTTTGCATTTCTGTTACTTCTTGTCAAGATCTTCTTGACAAAGTGTATTTTATTTCTCTCCCTCAGTAGCGCTTTCTGCTTCAGGAGAGTGGCTGTGTACTGGGTAAGAGGCAATGGAGGGCATCCAGTCTGAAGGAGCAGTGTTGGCAGTGCCTCATCAGGCTTTCCTATTCATTGATCTTCACATGTGGAAGCAGTTCCAAAGCAGACATATCTTTGTATGGCGCAGTTTGGCACAGACTTAAGGGTTGGCCTCTGTCATCAAGAGATGTCTGTGTGAGCAGAAGAATGAAGCAGACTAGTCTTCATATGATGTATTCACAAATGAGAAAAATGTATTTTTCTGTTGTTAGTGACACCTTGAGAGTAGTCAAGTGTTGCTCTTGTCACTTCTTTTGGAAATGACTACTAATGAATTTGGGTTCTTTTCTAATTTGACTTCTGATACTGGATTTGTTGATTTCTGCACCAACAGCCTTTTGTTTACTTTTCCCATTTTTCTGGAGTAACTACTGCAAACCAAACAGCAGCGAGTAGTCTCTGTTAATGAGATCTCACCACTCCCTCTTAGTAAGGTCTTACCATTCTGTTGAGCAGTAGTCCTGGAACTCTGTAGGTTTGTGCACATTCAACTTTTTTCAGTTCAAAAGGTTAACAGGTTTTTGTCACTTCTTGTTACTAATCAGAGAGAACTGTAAAAATTACACCTCCACTTTCCAAAGGAGTTGCTTTTTCTGCCTCAGGTACAGTGTTTTTTTTAAACCTTTCTGAGGCCTTTTCCCTCAGCTTTCTGCATCTTCTCTGTTCTTGTTTAAGGAACCTGAGTTGCACAGCAGCAGATGCTTCTAAAGAGTTTTTGCTTTATTTTTGTTTTGGGTTCAGCTGTGGGTTACGCTACCTGCTGTTCATGCCAAATACAAGTTACAAGGTTGCAGACATAGAGATTCCTTTCAGCTACTTGTCAGGCCTTAAGTGATGGAATATGGAATCTTTCAAAGTCTGAGACTTTCTATTCCGTTTGGTTTCTCACCTTGCACTGAGATCATTTTCTGTAGCCTTTCCTGTTGATGTGGTCAGTTGTGTGGTCACACCCCCTGTATCTGAGGAACAGTGTGAAACTCTTTCAGAGGAACTCTTCTCTTTAGTCAGCAGACATCACGTGGAAGTGCCTTAATTAGGAGCCAAAACCTGTACGAACAAATGTGACTACTTTTCTGAGATTCAGGTGGATGCATTATGTTTTTTTTCACTGTGGTGAACTGAGATCTTTCTGCAACAGTATCTGGTAGGCAAAGGACAAGGACAGATCACAAACCTAAGTGATGACCCAACTAATGGAGAACTAGTGTGCTTTATAAGACACTAGATACATAGTTTGCATAATTTTTTTTTGTGTGTGTCATAATCAAACATTATTCCATTGGCCTTCATGTTTATTAGGGCTGCACTTTATTATAAATGTAGAATTGAGGCAGAAATGCAGTCAGAAATTAATAAGGGCTCCTAAGTTTGTTTTTCTCAAGCTGCTATTTGTCTGCTTTCTGCTTAAACAGGGGAAGAGAGTTTCAGTAGTGTTGTTGCCCAGTTATTTTGTATTTTTTCTAAGGAGCCAATTACTTTTCTGTTTGCAAGAGGAAACTTCTACCTCGAACCCACAAAGATACATAGCACAGTTATGAATGGATCTGCTATCTGGTGTTAAAGGCCCATCTTTCACGGAGTAATAGAGAATACCCCTTGGCATGGCATAGACAAAAATGAAAATTAATTTCTGGGTCAGTGTATTTTGAGCTGGAGGCCTTAAACCCTTGAATACTTGCTGAACTTGGCTCAAGAGTTTACCTGTATCTTTTTGAAGTTGTGTTGCATAGGAATACCTGTTTATCACAATTCTGACAAGGTAGATTTCTCTTCCTTTTCAAACTACAGGCGCCCTAAGGGTACAGCAACAGAAAGATACATATTATTTCAAGGGATTCAAATTCTGTCCTGATAAACCTGACAGTTTCTTTATAACTGCCTGGCTTGGGTCTGTTGATTATCTGTCAAGCAAATGTGTGAGCTTACTACTTTGGTCTCACAACATGCTTATGTGTGTAGTCTCATCATAATGCTCCGGTTCAGTTTCTTCTCTAAAGCAGTCTCCAGTTCCTGCTTTTCAGTCTCCTTTTCCCACGTTTTGCTTATATCCCTCAGAGACATCATTATTTCCACATTTCATATTTGAAATGCACATATGCCAAATGCACATATGCTTACTAGTTGGCAAAACTTACAGTCCTCTGGAAACTACTAGGCAGCTGTTAGATTTTTTGAGAGTTGCCAGTGAAAATTTGTTGGTAAATTATCTGTAGACTTGTAGCTTGCGTGCACACCTCTTCAGCATTAGTCAGCTCTTCCAGGGAAATACTGTAACGGTTTTTGCACTTAGATATTTGCATTGCCTGCTAACTTCTCAATTTTGTGTTACACCCTGGGGTACTGCTTCTGTAGTCCATAGCATAGTAAGACTTCTAATGGGCACCCTGTGACACTTCACAATGCACATAAGATGGTGAAGCAGAGTACTTCCCAATAACGAGCCTTTTTTTTTATTTAAATCTACTACCATGCTCACCCCCTGCCGCTTTTCTCAGGTATTTCTCTGTCTTGGTAAAATTAAAGTATCTGTCATGACAGTTAAAAGTAATTGGGGTTTGCTTTCATGCCCAGACTCAGGGTCACCTTGTTCTGGACACATTTGCTCAAATTGAGTGCCATGTGTGTGAAGGGGCTGCAAATGGGCAGTTTTTATACTTGGATAGAAGTCAGACTTCTAGCAACTCTCCTCTTAATGCTTCTAAATGTCTTGAAAGTTCAGTTTGAAAATTTAAAATTCCTATAATTTTTTTTATCTGTATAGTAGGTCTCATAGCAAACATGGAAAACTGAAACAGACTTTCTAAGTACAGAAGGATTTTCTCCTGCTCCCTTCTTGTTCCCCCAGGTATTTTCTGGGCGAAAAGGTGTTACTCTATAGAGAAATATGACACGTGGAAAACCTGGAGGGTTTGTTTTTTTTTTTCAGGAAACTCATTTAACCTTGTGTGTTCTGTATAGTTAGCTTTTATTGCAATCCATTAGTGAGCTTAAATTGTGGAAATTGTGGTTCAAGTGGTATACATTTGCTTCACTGGAAAGAAAAGCATACAGAGGGAATTTGATTCTTTAATATTTCTAGAATGTAGTTAAGTACAGCTCTGCTGTAGTTAGTAATGGTGAATCTCTTATTCCTATTACTGCATTATTCTGTTTTCTCTCTAGAGGGCAATCTTCTATCATATATTGTTAGAACCTTTTTTGCTTTATCCTTCTTATTTGAGGTTTTTTTTCTGTTTTTTTTCTAGGTATACCTGTAAATTATCAGGATGTAGCATCTATTGATCCAGAGTATGCAAAGAACTTGCAGTGGATTTTAGATAATGATATCAGTGATCTGGGTTTAGAGCTGACCTTCTCTGTTGAGACTGATGTGTTTGGAGCAATGGAAGAAGTGCCACTAAAGCCAGGGGGTGCAAGTATACTTGTTACACAGGAAAATAAGGTGAGTATACGTGTCTCTTCAGAAGTTGAGAGTATAAGAAAAGCAATTGGACTGAATTTCTGAATAACTGGAAGCATAAATGGTATACCTCTTTTGAAGGAAATACACAAGAGTGCCAGCCAATGCTGTTCCCTCTTTTCCTAGTTTAGGATGTTATAGAAACAGGCTGGTTAAAATTTTTGAAAGTGATCAGGTTTGGGGAAAGACCTTTCTGACAGAATTTTTGGAAGGAAAATAGAATCAGCTTTAAATGAAGAGTTTAAGTTACAGATATTCCTAAATTTAAGTAATTGGTATATATACCAGGAAAATAAAACAATAGGAGCTGTTAAAATTAAAACTGTAGGTAATGTTACAAAGTATGCTGCCTGCTAGGACAGTCTATGGCACTGGATTGCTCTGCAGTAACATAGAGGTAGTTAACAGAGTAGAAGGCTACAGGAAGCTTTTTCAGCCATTTGCAGATCACTTGGTGTGTATGGAAATAATCTACCTTTTCAATTTACTGTAATAGTAACAGCTTGGAAAGTCCCTGAATTCTCCGCAGCATTAGTTCAAAAACAAATCTGGTAAAACACAGACAGATGCTGGATATCATGTAGAAATTAAGATAGATATCAATCTAATTGAATTCTGAAGCTACCCATGAGATAGTTTTGAGTAACTGCAGGAGTTTCATTGCTTGATCTGCAATTTTTTGTATCATTTACTCTTTTGATCCTTATGTCTGCTTTTCATTTGTGTTTAGCTAGCCTGACTCTCTTGTGTACACAGAATTCGTTCAGTTTTACTCATGTATCTAGCTGCTGTATTGGTAAATGGCCACTTGGTGTCAGCATGTGTTCTGACAAAATTTTGGTTTGTGTTTGAGCGATTGAGACTGTATTCTTTTATGGGTAATCCTTATTCTCATTAAGGCAGAGTGTCATTCCAAAACCAGAAGTATGTATTATTAGCCTGATTTTTACACTGTTTCCTGCAATATATTCATTCATGAAAGAATATAGGTGGTAAAATAAGTCTAATTGTGAAGGCAAGGATGTTGATTCTTGTTTCTGGGCAGTCTCAGCTTTCAGTATATAGAATAGACGTAGTTGTCATAAATTGTGGTTTCATAACAACTACTTAAAAGCTATTATCAGTTAGCATGAGACTAGAAGTTTGCCCACATAAGGATACTACCTATTAGTAGTTTAAATTGCTCTGTTAACTTCTGACTAGGGGCACAGACTGAAAAGGGTGGTTGAATCTGATGCATCTGATCTAGCCCGTCAGCCTTCCTCAGCTGTGGCATTAAAGTGTGAGGCTTTGTGTAGCTTGTATTTGAAAGGTGGTAAGAAACAGATGAATGTTGTAGTGGCTTTGAAACTTAATATTAATTGACTTTTTAATTTGAAGCTGCAAGATGTGAAGTCAACAAATATGTAAGATGGCACTGTCTGTTTCTTGTTCACTGATTTTTTGACAGTGGTAAACCAGGTTGTTAAAAATTGTAGATCTGTGTTTTAGTGGTGTTTGGGGATGTTTTCCTAATTTCTTGAATGCAAAATGATTTTGCAGTATGTTTCGGCTTAACAGGTTAAGCAGGAGAGTGCCTACTTTATAAAACATCTTTCTTTTTTCCCTACATGAGATATCTTTCTTTTTTTTCTGCTTTTGCCTCAGGAATAAAAGATTGCTATTTAAAACTCATTGTACTTGCTCTACCTCTGAGAGAACAAAATTCAGCTTCTGAAGGAATTTGCTGTATATGCACACTTGCAGGTTACCCGTTTAAAGGATGGCAACTTGTAAAAATGAATTTTCAAGTGAATCTTTATTCCTTAAAAAAAAAAAGGCAAACCAACAAAAAAACCCCCACCATACCAAAACCTCACAGAACTCCTGCAAATAATCCATCTCCCTCTTACTGAAAACCAAAATAAAAGAGAATAAATGCCCCATTGAGGAGCAGTAGTAATAGCTGTTTGTAAAATGTTGTTTTGTTTGAGTGAAGGAATTTTCTTTTTTGTATCAACTGTGTAATAGCTTAATGGTTGTGCAACTGGACAACACAAATGTCCTAGTGTTGGAATTTGGAGCATCCACATACTAAAGTATCAGTTATAGGAGTGGCTCAACTGCCTTTTGTTGTGGTAATGGGGAGACTTCAAAGGGAAACATCAGGTGTTGTCCAATGTCCATGCTAGGCATTTCTCTTTGTTCTTTGCTGTACATATTTTTGCAGTTTTCTAATTTCGTTTTAGGAAAAAGGTAAAATTAGAGCTAGGCAAAGTTTGTCCATATGCTATTCCAAAAAACGGTGCATATCTCCACAGTGCTATGGCTTTCTCTGGCCTCCCAGGACTTGTCTGTCTGAGCTGCCTGTGCCGTTTGGCAGTAAAAAATTATGTATTTTTTTTTCCAAACAGCTTTGAAATGGAGCTGCTTTCCGAATCTGAATATAATAATTAACACTGATCCCTATCTCAGTTCAGGGAAATCAGGGAAGCATAATCTCTGCTTGATCTACCTCAAAGGAAAATACAGAACAACTCCTCACCCAAGCTAAATTTTGTCATCATGTTTGTGATGCCCGTCTATTGTGTGTTCAGTCAAATTTCCCCTCTTAAAAGAAGGCTGGATTGTACCTCTTGTGTGCTATCTAGGAATGGATATATAGATCTGAAGTTATGTAGGTGTTTGTTCTGTGATGTGCTCCTGAGGTTTCTGAGAGGGAATAAAATCTTAAGTGAACAGAGAAAAATTTGGGGTCTTTTGGTTTGTTTTTTTTTTTTTTTTAACTGAAAAATTAAATTGTATAGTAAATTCTAACTGTAAATTCTATACTATGGCAGCTATGGGCTGCAAGCATGCACCGGTGCTGATAGTCAGGATGCTTGGCTGTACCAGGCTGTTTAAAACATTTCTTCTTACACACAGGGACTGTTTTCTGTCATAATGAAATAGTTCAAAGTAAATATTTTTGTAATGCAGAAAATAAGTGTTTGTCATTTTTTCTAATAGATTTTTTAAAAATAAGATTGTGAATTTTTCTGCCTGCAGCCCTGTTTTCTGAATAGTCTAATTTATGTAACAGCAACTTCAGAGACGTAAAACAAGTATTTCAGGACATTGAAGGCCAGTGTTAAGACACTGATTCATGTCCAGTCCTGATAATACTAATAGCTTCTGATTTCTTCCTGGAGCTTGTAAGATGTGTTCACAGAGGCTGATTTTTGTCTAGTACAGTTAATCTCCTTTGGCTGCCCCTTTAATTCTTTAAAGAAGAGGGACTGCATTCAGTTTCACTGGCAGTAGAAGCAACCTAGGGAGCTGACTGAATTGAAACTAGATTTTTGGGAACGGCTCTGCAGTTGAAGATATGATTAGGTAATGTTCCTTTTCTTCAGAGCATTTCACAGATTGTTTTCTCACTCTAATAAAATGGTGGTAATGCATTTAAAAGTATCTTCCAACTGCAAAGCAAATGACAACCCCTCGATACTGTGAATGTAAGGATCTGCCTTTGAAAAATATTATTCTGTTTTGAAATGTTTCATGCTTCATTCTGTTATTCTGAAAGGGAGGAAAGAAAGAATGGTTGGTTGCTTTTGTGCAGGTGTAGTTTAGTTTAATGGTTTTTAAAATTAAAGATCAAGGTGGTATTTTTGTAAGATTATTGTCTTGAAGGAAGGGGATAGTTGAGATGGTTTAATTGAGAGATATATTTCATGATTTCATTATTAAAAAAATCATGATTCATTACTTTGAAACTGAGTGCCTTAATTCAGGAATGAATTTTGTTCTCAAGTCAAAAACTCTTTTCTTGAGTAAAGAAACTTTATTAGACTTTTATATATACTATTAGTTTTGTCAGGGTAAATGAGAAATGTTTATACAGCTTTATTATTGGCACTTCTGGCTGTCTCATTCTAAAAACCTTCTATTAACAACCTTCTAGGCTTTTGAGTTTTCAACAAAGGCAAAGTTCTAGTGGATTCCTTTTCTAGCTGGCATCTTCTAAAGGGGATGGAGCTCCCACATCTCTAAAGCATGCAAACTGATGCTGTAATTTCACACATGTAAATGCATTTTTGGCTTTTTGCCTTTTCAAAAACTGGAGAGATTTTTCAAGACTTCTTTGAAAGCATTGAAATTCTTACTAAGACAACAAAGCTTCAGTGATAAGTAATATATTCTGTTAGACTTTGAGAGATAGGGGGAAAGCAAGAAAGCTTTTTGGCTTACAAATATTCCTGCAGTAGTGTCGAGGTTTAAGCCCAGCCGGCAACCCAGAACCACACAGCTGCTCGCTCACTCCCCTCCCTTCCTCCCCCTGCTCCTGGAGGGATGAGGAGGAGAATCAAAAGAATGTAACTCCCACGGGTTGAGATAAGAACAGTCCAGTAACTAAGGTATAACACAAACCACTGCTGCTACCACCATTAATAATAATGATAAGGGAAATAACAAGGGAAGAGGATACAACCGCTCACCACCCACCAACGAATACTCAGCCCGATCTGAGCAGTGATCTAGCCCTTCCAGGTAACTGCCCCCAGTTTATATACTGGACATGGTGTGCTGTGGTATGGAATACCTCTTTGGCTAGTCTGGTTCAGGTGTCCTGTCTCTGCTTCCTCCTGGCTTCCCCTCCTCCCTGGCAGAGCATGAGACTCAGAAAGTCCTTGGTCAGAGTAAACATTACTGAGCAGCAACTGAAAACATTGGTGTTATCAGCGTTGTTCCCAGGCCAAAAGTCAGAAACACAGCATTGCACCAGCTACTAAGAAGGAGAAAAAATGACTGCTACTGCTGAACCCAAGACAAGTAGTTTACCCTTCTTCCTGAGTTATTCCAGCTTGCTTAATAGAATATTTTTATTTGCAAACGTTGCCTTATTTATGTTCTTAGATGATCACAATGCTGGTTGAATTAGATGCAGGTATGATAAACTAAGTGTTTTTTCAGTTCCTTTATTTTACTCCAGTTCACTTAGTCCAACTACCTGTTGTGTGTGGGTTTTTTTTTTTTTTTGTGGGTGGTTTCATTTATTTATTTTTTTTTTTTGAAATTTTTTTTTGTCCTGGTTTGTGTTAAGATTCAAGCAGTTCTGTTTGGGAAGGACAGAAAGGGGAAGAGCAGAAAGGGGAAGGGCTCTGAAGTCTTAGGGGTCTTCTGGATTATTTTGGATTGCTTCTGTATGTAGAAAGTACATAGGGACTCAGTATCTCAGAGTAGATGACATTTGTATGTATTGAGGACTGCATTTGTGTGTGTTTGCATGAGCACTATCTGTTCTTGCTATTGTATATCTTAATGGCTTTTACGACATTGCAGGCTGAGTATGTCCAGCTTGTCACAGAGCTTAGAATGACAAGAGCCATTCAGCCTCAGATAAATGCCTTTTTACAAGGCTTCCACATGTTCATTCCACCATCTTTGATCCAGCTTTTTGATGAATATGAACTGGTAAGCAGAAATGCCTATACTTTTTAGAAACACTTTGTTCAGCATGCTTCATCGTAATGCAGTGATCTAGAAATAGAGCTGAGTACCCAGGAAATAAACATTTTCTTTCACTTCATTTTGCTTCCTGGACATCTTGTCAGTGAGGATCTCAATATATGTATTCCTTCTTATCCTAATTACTTAGAATGACCATCTTCTTGGAATGTGATAACTTCATGTGCCAGTGATAAATGCCTTAAATTATAGGTTCATGATGGAATGAGGGTGTTGTGGCCTTTAAGCCTTTTAATATTTTCTTTGAGGATGAGAGAAATCCTTTAAAAGTAAGGAGATGTGTCTATTGTTTTTGCTTTTTCTGAGTCACAGAATCAAGTTCCAGGAAGTTTTTTTGTGGTGGTTTGATCTGTAATCAATAGATCTCAAGTTTTGCCTCAAGTAGTACCAAAACTCAGCACTTTTATCTTTTAGGTTCTTGGCAATAGCTTTTCACTCTTGATACTGTGTAGTTAAGTGAAACAGATTGTGTGAAGTTGCCTGAATTTGAAGGATCTTCCTGTATTAAAATTCAGTCAAAAAATCAGGTTCCATAAGATTGTAACTAAACGAAGAAAGCACTGTAATTTTTATACGACTTAAAGCGTTACTTCTTAAAATAGCATAAACACTTGAAATTAATGGCTAGTCAGGAAGACTAATGGCAGTCTGTTTGCTTCTCCTGAAGGAGCTTTTGCTGTCTGGTATGCCAGAAATTGATGTGAATGATTGGTTAAAAAATACAGAATACACCAGTGGCTATGAGAGAGGAGACCAAGTTATTCAGGTAAAATTATTTTCTTGAATAGTGGAGACTTTTGCATTTTAACCTGAAAAATGGTGCTGCTGCTGTTGTCATTTTCTGTATATCTTTGTGGAAGCTTATTATGGCTGAAATTTGTCTGTTGTTTTTTTTTTCATATTCCTACATTAAGTGACTTTCATATGAAATTTTCCACCATTTAAGTAACAAATGCATAATGGTAAAACAATGAATGGAATATTTATCTTTTCAAGTACTACAAGGATTGAATGGAAAATAAAAACTAACTTATTTTTCATTTAGTGGTTCTGGGATGTTGTGGAAGAGCTTACTCAGGAAGAGAGAGTATTACTGTTACAGTTCGTTACTGGCAGGTGAGAAACTCAAGTAACAACAGATACATTGTCTGGATACACAGTAATAAGTCAAGAGACTTCAGATTACTATGCAAGATCACTTAATTAGAAACTGTTTTGCATACTTCGTGTTTTATATCTTGATCCAAGTAGACAAAGTGTGTGTTAAACTTCAGCTGCCTGAACTGCCAGCAAAATGATTGATAATGTATTTATTAGACCTGACTAATTTGCAAGAGGCCTTTGTTGCTGTCCCAGGTAATTTTTTTAGAAGGCAGTATGAATTTAACTGCACTTTATATTCTTCTCCCTGTTGCATATTTATGTGGTTCTTGGCTTCTCCAGTAATATATATTGTAATATATATTGTAGTGACAGGACAATATAATATATATGTAATATATATAATATAATACGATATTAATATATATGTAATATATATAATATAATATTATAAGACAATGTAATAATATAATAAGACAATATAATGTATATGTAATATATATTGTAGTGACAGGACAAAGGGTAACAGGTTAAAACTTAAAACTGGGGAAGTTTAGGTTGGATATAAGAAGGAAATGCTTTCCTGTTAGGGTGGTGAGGCACTGGAGTGGGTTGCCCAGGGAGGTTGTGAATGCTTCATCCCTGGCAGTGTTCAAGACCAGGTTGGACGAGGCCTTGGGTGATACGATTTAGTGTAAGGTGTCCCTGCCCATGGCAGGGGGGTTGGAACTAGATGATCTTAAGGTCCTTTCCAACCCTAACGATTCTATGATTCTATATATAGGCTTTAATATATGAGATAACTAGGGATCACTTCAGTCAGTGTAAACAGAACAAAGCTGAGTTGAATTCAACATTAATGTAGAGTGTCAAGATCAAGTGAAGATGTAATTTTATGCTAGACTGTGTTTGCTTTATGTCAGATTTCTGTCCTAAACTCTGGTTGTTTTTCAGTGAAACCCACTTTTATTTCCTTTATGGTTTGGGGGAGTAGGGGAAGATCTTGAGTAATAAACGCCCCTGTGGGCTGGGTGAGCTGCTGAGTTTGTGTATACAGACATGTTGCAAAGTGGATCCGTTGATGCATGTGGCACCTGAGCTATGGAGTCTACTGGAATCTTGTTCTAGTGGCAGTTAGAGATTGCACAATCTTCTTAATTCAATATACCCTTCCATTCATATTCGTAGGGTAGTTGACCTTTAGTTTGTACATTTTGTGGTAAAGCAGTGGTAAAATACAAATAAAGATCATCAAACTCCGTGTTTTATACCAAGGAATTTCACAGTCACGGATGTATCATCAAATGACATGGTCTTCAAATTCTATTAGTTTCACTTGATTTATTATGAATTTCATTGGTTTTAGGGATCACAGATAATTTAAGAAACTAGCTCTTTGTACATCGATCTTTTCTTTTTGTCATCTTCAGAAATGATTTCTGCAGTTGTAAGTGCACATCTGTTGCATATCAGTGGCTGGTCTTTCGTTTTTAGTGGACTAGGCCATTTCTAAATCCAGACGGCAAGTAAGGATTTTTAGGATGTAAGGTCATGTTTCAAATGCTTCTTAAACCATTCCAAATGATAATGAAGTGGCATTCACTATTTTTATGGCATTTGGGATAATCTACTGATTCTAAGGCACACTTTCTGTCAAGTAAACAATTACATTGTCTGATTAATATGTGCATGTGCACCATTCATTTTGGTTATAAATTACATACTGACTTGTTCTTACCCATTTCTTGTTAGTAAGAAAGAAATTTTTGGTATGTCTTGTTAGAACTATGGTCTGCAATTTAAAACAAAATTGTTTATTTATTTTGTTTTGTATCAGCTAGGAGCCCTGTGTGTTTTTTCTTCAGTAATTGAAATTACAGAAGGCATGTTTTTCCATAAAAAATTAACTTTTAAAAGTTACCTCTAGGGGTATGCAGCTGGCATTTTTTCACATAAATCCCGAAACAATCCTAGTTTCTGGGCATGGAAGATTTAGATGCCGAGTCATCTGTGAGCTAAGATACCAGTTAGTCTAGTCAACATGGTTTAAGCACAGCTGGCAACTAAGTAAGTACCACGCAGCTGCTCCCTCACTCCCCACCTCCCAGATGAAACCGGGACACTATACAGGCCAGTATCTTCAGTGAAAATTTACACTAAAATTATACCCGATTCCAAAATGTGATCTTTTTCTGGTGTCACATTTCCTTAGTGAAGAATTTGTTTCTGTGTACCAGTTGGCAGGCTGCATTCAAAATTTTCATTTTCTTTCCAATCAAAGCCTATGGCATTTATTTAGTGGATTAAATAAAGCAGTTCTGTTTGTGATTGTCTTTAGTGTTTCTCTGACATGTATCTCGTAAACTTCGTCTTCTTCCCCCATTCTTACACCTTTTTTCTCTTCAATGCAATGAAGTCTTGCTTTGATAGTTTCAGCGGAGATACTACTGCATTCATCATTAGTACCAGTTTTGAGACATCTTTTAACAGTAATTTCCATGAGCAATGTTTGAATAGCAAATTCTGTGTTTTAAAGAGGTCTTGGCACACTCAAGAAAAAGCCTAAATATTCTTGTGCCTCATGCTGGGGATCTGAAAGTTTACTTATGTACCACCTACTTTTTCTTTGCTGGCAGCTCTTGCAGTGGTATTTCCAATTCCACATGCTTTTATATTTTTCTCCGCTCTTGTTCTATTTGGTATTTTTAATAATATTTGGTTAAATTATGTTTAATTATCAATTGGCAACTTTTAATCAGGTTTTTAGTTACTAGTTGGAGCGAAGTGTTGACAGCTTATCATGATAAATTCTACTTTGTATTCTGTAGGTATCAGGATTGCTGTTCAACTTCTGAAGGGGCTGTGGTTATGTTAAGTAATAAGCTATATGCTCTGTTAAGGGAAATTCAGTATATTTGATAAATGTGATAGATGTATATGACCACTTTTAAAAGTAAAACAAAACATAAGGAAATTGACTTAAAGTATCTCCTCTGCACTGTTACAATTTATGTGAAGTCTCTAAGTGAAAAAATAGGTAGAAAACACAAGATTCATATGTAAACTTAAACATCTTAGTGTTGAAGTTTTCAAAGTTATAAAATTGTATTGTTGTTCTTGCTGAAGGCTATTTACACGCACAGTAGGAAAGGTAGGATTTTGTGATCTTATTTGCACATATTTGGAAGTCTGACTTTACTATATCAGCAGTTTTTGTGTGTGAAGAAAAGTCATTATTGGAGGCATAAATTGGTAACCAACTGTTACTTTTAAATGTTCAAAGCCCTCATTGTACTGTTTGATTCTGACCTGCTGTAGGAAATTTTCAAGTTAGGTCTGTGTTCTATTGCTGATTTGAATGTGAAATTCTCTTGGTTCATTGGAGGAACAAAACCAAACAAAACACTGCAGGGGAGGCAGCACTGTGTTAGAAATGCGAACCAAAACCATGGTATCAAAGAGTACTGCTGTCAGATTTTTACAGCTGTTCTGAACTGTGGCTGTGAGCACAATTTCATTTGTATGTCAGAAATACTATGCTGCAAATAATCAGCGCTTCCCTCCATAGAGGTTGCCTTATATACCAGCGCTAAGAACTGTATGCCGGACATTGCTGCCATTAAGCTAGGTGATTCAGACTTACGTGTTAACTATTGTGCTGTGCTATAGCTAGCTCCTAAAGGTATGTTATGTGTTAACTATTGTACTATGCTATAGTACATAGCTCATATATATATATATATCTTAAAGTACATATATGTATAGCTCTTAAAGGTATGTTTAAAAAGGATTACTGTGAGCTGTGTCGTAGCTCCTTAACATTTGGCAGTAGCAACCCCAACTCTTCTGCATTTTTGCCAAGTAGTTTTATTGTGAGTGGAAACATTACTTCATTCTTTCCCATTCTTGCTCCTGGTTTCTACAGTCACTTTGATTCTGTGATTATGGGAACATTGTTTTTAATGTAAGCACTTGTAATGCAAAATCCTACAGCTGTTACATTAATGGAAGTTTTATTTCGTTTCGTTTCTTTTCTTTTCCTTTTTTTTTTCTTTTTTTTTCTAGCTATGAAATCGTGAAATAGTTGAGGTTAGAAGGGACCTTTGGAGATTGACTTGTCCAACTCCATGTTTAGAGCAGGGTTAGCTAGAGCCAGATGCCCACGGTCTTGTCCAGACAGGTTTTGGCTGACTCCTCAGCTGCTCTGGGCAACTTGTCTCAGTGTTTGGCCACCTCACAGTGAAAATGTTTTTTCTCATGTTTAAAAGGAAATTTCATGGATTTCAACTTGTGCCTGTTGCCTCCTGTCACTGGGTGCCACTGGGTGCTCTATCTTTAGACTTGTGCTCCATCTTACTTATTCCTCCCTTCAGGTATTTATATACATTGATCAGATTCCCCTGAGCCTTCTCTTCTCCAGACTCAACAGCTTATTCTCCTCCTATATCAGGTGCTCCAATCCTTTACCATCTTTGTGGCCACTTGCTCAGCTTGCTGTAGTATGTCTCTGTCCCTCATGTAGTGGGGAGCTTGTTGCCAGACTCCAGATGTTTCTCACTGAGTACAGGACAAGGATCGCTTCCCTCTACCTGCTTGTGACTTTCTGATGTGGGCCAAGAGCCTACTGACCTTGTATGCAAGGATGCATTGCTGCCTTACATTCAACTTCTTTAGTTCTTGTGCCCTTATCTTTTCATTTATTTTTTAGGTGTTGGGATTGGTTTTGTGTGTGTGCTAACAACATGTTACCATGTAATGCGTACTAGCTTAAGTTGATATAAAAATTTCTTTATTTTGTTATATCTGTCTCTTAGTTTAAAATTATAGGGAGGCACTCCAGGGCTATTGTCTACTTACACCTTGAATAATCTTTGAATAATATATTGGTTGAAGGAAAAGAATTGTGAGTAATCTGATCAACTGAGAATTCATTCCTGAAAATGCCAATGTTGGTTTTTTTTTTTTCTTTTTTAGTGTGCTCTGGTTTTGCCGTAGGTTGTCACTGTGGGATAGTGTGATTGATATAATGGTTTTATTAGTTACTTGAAACAATTGGTCTGAGTAGTAAATGAAAAGACATGTTGTGGATACTTCGGTCAGTTGTCCCATGGATAGCAATTGGAGAATAAACTTCTTTATGATGTAATATTTCTTAAACTGTAAATATAAATAATCATAGATGTTGGCCTAAACTGAGATAATGTTCTGTTACAAAAACAGGTTGTAGAAATGAGTACTCCTGCAAATAGAATTCTCTTAAATGTCATTCAAACAATTTGATGCCTGATGTAAGCAGACAAATGCATTGTAATTAAAAGCATTTAGACTGTGAGAATTTTGATATGGGTAAGAAAGGGGAAACCTTGATAAAAGCATTTGTAGCTGTCTAATTCCTAGCAGGAAGAGATATTTGAAGTGTAAAGACTACAGGGTTTTTGGCTTGTAAAATTCTTGTAATGGTCTAATTTCTGTGAATTTTCTCAGTTCCAGGGTGCCTCATGGTGGTTTTGCCCATATAATGGGTGGCAGCGGTTTGCAAAATTTTACAATTGCTGCTGTGCCATATACTGCAAATCTTTTACCAACATCAAGCACATGGTATGTTAATTAGTCATGTTGAAATATCTTAAAAATGGGCCTTTTTCGTGCCGGTCACAGTCAAAAATACCATTCTTTTGAATATTTTAATTAGAATCCCCCCCAACAAATTTAGGTGGTTTGTGCAGTATTCACTATCCAATGTGAAAGTGGTGGGTTTAAACCCAGATGATGGATGTTATGTTTGCTCGTTGTTTACTACTTCATTTTGCTTAACTAAAGGCAGTGGGATTAATAAGGGAATATTCAAGTTAAATCATTGTATTAAAATTGACTAAAATAAAAAAAAAATTATTTCCTGCAATGTGTTCAAACGCTCAGTGGTACTGTAACACTCAGTGGTACTGTAGTGCAGCCCAGCTTTGTTTCCTTCCTTAAGTGTGACATTAGGGTTTTCAGTCAGAAATCTTTACTGCTGGGTTTCTTGCTGAACTGTGACATGACCTTTTATTTTTTTTTTCTCTTTTCAGTATCAACATGCTCAAATTACCTGAATACCCAAGTAAAGAAATCCTTAAGGATAGGCTTCTTGTGGCATTGCACTGTGGAAGCTATGGTTACACAATGGCATAATGAAGTCTGGAAAACTCATTTGGCTACTGATGTGCAATTTCAGGTGGAAAAGCAGCTTAAATGCTCCAGTGCATTGGCAGGGCTGGGCCTCAGAATTCCTATAGGATCATCAGCTTTTCCTCCGCTATGTGTTGTCAAAAGTAACTTTGATACCTTCACAACAGACTGCTCAGCATGCTGTACTTTCATTTAAAGAAAATTACAGATATGTATGAAAATCAGTTTACATGCTTTTCATTATTCCTTCAGTCTGAATCAGAAAGTTTGTCGCAATCTCTTTCCACAGTTTGCTTTTGATTTTTCAACTATATGGTTGAATGGCATTAGCGTTTCAGTTCCTTTGCACTCAGATGGTGTACTGCTAATGGGCAGACTTGTACTTTATGCCTTGTTGCATGTCAAAGTGCTGTTTATTTTTGCAGAGAACACTATAGAAAGTTCAATTGGGATATTGTACAGTAAGACAGAGCTGATGTATTTTCCATTTCTTTGCATAGTAACAAAATTTTATAACTTTTTAGTATTTTAATGTATATAGTATGTAAAGACTAGACTTACCACTGGAAAAAATAACAGAAGAAGTTAATATCTAATTTGTATTAGAATTTACACTATATTCGACAAAATATTTAAAGTATTTGTGACTTTATAATCAACTTGCAGTTTAGAATTTGTAAATATTATATAAACCTGTATTCATTGTTTGAATGTCTTTACTCTTTCCTTTACATAATTGTATGTTCAAAAGGTATTATTAAATTTTAATATTTTAGCTTAAATCTGAATGCAACAAGTCTGTGTCTTTGTGGACGGTTTATTCTTTTTTCCCCATATTCTCATACTATAATTTAAATTGTTATGGAGGCACCATTTGAGAAGGTATTGTCAAAGTGTATGGGTGGACATAAGCAAATTTACAGGGAAGGAACTTGAGCATACTGAAATTAATTGACAAGACTATAATAATTAGAATCTCATGTCAGAATTCATATAAAATTAGAATATATTACTCTACGTAAAAATATACAGCAATGGCTCATTGTTTGTTTTTGATAAGTAGCTGCACTTGTTGGGGTAGATGGTGCATTTGCATAACTGCTTTTTTAGGGACCCTAGGGTAGGTCTACATTATTGTTTTGATTCAGGCTGCAAGTGGGGTTTTGGCTGTGGATGTTTTTTTGTTGAACTTTTGTTTAATTATGTATACTTTCTAATTTGGTCATCCTGCTTGTCTTGCTTTTGCTTCAGAGAATGCAAACTGGATTCTTTCCAGATGAAGCTAAACAGAAAAACATGATCCAAAAATGTACCAAATCCTAATGGATGAACATTAATTATGTCTGCAAGACCTAAGTGATCTAAATGAGTGAAGAACAGGAAATCCTCCAAACATGTAACTTTTAAGGTTCAGGTCCTCAGCAGAAACTGTTTGCTGTGATCCATTCATGTTTTCCTACGCTAAGTGCTAATGCATGTATAGCCTGAGTTCACCAGCTGATGTGCGTATGCTGCTGACTTGGTGCTGTTTTTTCAGATTTTACTGGTTTTAATCTAAAGCATACATAATCTCTCTGGGAGTGTGAGAGGGAAATCTCTGGACCATCAGATTCAGTGGTGTCACAATAATTTCCCTTTGGGCTAAGCTTTAAACATAGACTTGTTAGCTGTCATTTCCTTTCTGGTTGTTTATGCACATGTATGCATAAATGCTGGTTTAAATTCTTATGTGGTGCCTGTGACTGCAATTTAAGGATAATACTGGGTTTAGGAGAAAGAGCAGACTCTTCCAGCGGGGTTATCCAGTGGAAGCTGGAATTATCTATTTTGCTTTATGTAAACTGGGGTTTTTGTCTTTATCTCAGGGTTTACTGTAAATACTATTGTTCATTAAATACTATGGATTTGTGATCTTTTTCATTTTTCTTTTCACTTGTTCTGTTTCATGGTAATACAGAGCAGTCTGCAGGAAGCTAAAACCTTGCATACTGCCTTGTGCCCAAAACATTATCCAAAACATCATCCAAAACATCAGCCTTACAATCACACTGTAAAGTTGAATTGAAGGCAAAAAAAATCAGATTTTTATGTTTTTCATTTCTGTATTAAATTGTAGGTGACTTAAGTATGAACAAGCTGAATTTGGTCTCAGTGTTCCTAAAATGCTGGTCAACTGGTTTTGAAATATAACAAAACAGCCTTTCAATGTTGTCAGCAGTTTCCTGTGACAGGTCTTCCTGTGTCCTGGTTTCAGCTCTAAGTGATTTTTTCCTCCTTCCTATTAACTGGTGTAGTGCTGTGTTTTGGCTTTAGACTGAGAACAGCCTGATAACACGCCCATGTTTTAGTTGCTGCTACGTAGTGCTTACCCTGATCAAGGACTTCTCAGTCTCTCATGCTCTGCCAGTGAGGAGGGGCACAAGGAGCCGGGAGGAAGCAGAGACAGGACACCTGACCCAAACTAGCCAAAGGGGTATTCCATACCACAGCACATCATGCCCGGTATATAAACTGGGGGGAGTCACCCAGAAGGCCCAGATCACTGCTTGGGTCAGGCTGGGTATTGGTTGGTGGGTGGTGAGCAGTTATATTGTGCATCACTTGTGTTTATTGTTTTCATTTTCCCTTTTTAGTTTTGTATTTTCTTTGCTTGTTATTTCCCTGATCATTATTATTGGTGGTAGCAGTAGTGATTTTGTGTTATACCTTAGTTACTGGACTGTTCTTATTTCAGTCTGTGGGGTTTACATTCTTTTGATTCTCCTCCCCATCACAGCCAGAGCAGGGGGGTGTGAGCAAATGACTATATGGTGCTGAGTTACTGGCTGGGTGTGAACCATGACACCATGTTGCAGCCTCACAAGTGATGAAGCAGGTTACTCCTTCCTCC